ATAAGGAAGTAAAAAGGGGATAATAGAAGGAAGAAGGGGAACTGATAAAAGGGAGAGTGGATTGAGGAAGGTGGTGATTAGAAGTAAAATACTTGTGAGGAGGGAAATAGGGGGGTAAGAGAGAGAGGGAGATAAACAAGGGAAAAATAGCATGGAGGGAAACACATAGCTATCATAACTATAAATGTGAATGGGATAAATTTACCCACAAAATAGAAATAGATAGCAGAATGGATTAAAAACCAGAATCCTACAAGAAACATATTTGAAGCAGAAGGATACCCACAGGGTAAAGATAAGAGGCTGGTGCAGAATTTATTATGCTTCAGCTGAAGCAAAGAAAGCAGGGGTAGCAATCATGATCTCAGACAAAGCAAAAGCAAAAATAGATCTAATTAAAAGAGATAAGGAAGGAAACTATATCTTGCTGAAAGGTACCGTAGACAATGAAATCACATCAGTACTAAACATATATGCACCAAATGGTATAGCATCCAAATTTTTGAAGAAGTTGAATGAGTTACAGGTGGAAATAAATAATAAAACTATACTACTGGGGGATCTCAGCTTTCCCCTCTCAGAACTAGATAAATCTAGGCAAAAAATAAACAAAAAAGAAGTTAAGGAGATGAATAAAATTCTAGAAAAGTTAGATATGATAGATCTCTGAAGAAAATCTAATGGGAATAGAAAGGAATATACCTTTTTCTCAGCAATACATGACACTTACATAAAAATTGACCATATGTTAGGACATAAAAACCTCACAACCAAATGCAGAAAGGCAGAAATAGTAAATGCATCCTTTTCAGATCACAATGCAATAAAAATTACATTCAGTAATGGACAATGGAAATAGAAATTAAAAATTAATTGGAAATTAAATAATCTAATCCTAAAAAATAAGTGGGTCAAAGAACAAATCATAGAAACAACTGATAATTTCATTAAAGAAAATGACAACAATGAGACAACATATCAAAATTTATGATATGCAACCAAAGTGGTACTCATGGGAAAATTTATATCTCTAATTGTTTACATCAATAAAAGAGAGAAAAAGCAGATCAATGAATTGGGTATGCAACTTAAAAAAAAAAAAAAACAAGAAAAGGAACAAATTAAAAATCTGCAATAAAATACCAAATCAGAAATCCTGAAAATCAAAAGAGAAATGAATGAAATTGAAAATAAAACCATTGAACTAATAAATAAATAAAATTAGGAGCTAGTTTTATGAAGTCACCAATAAAATAGATAAATGATTGGTTAACTTGATTAAAAAAAAAGAAAGAAGAAAACCAAATTACTACTATCAAAAATGAAAGGAGTGAATTCACCACCATTTAAGAGGAAATTAAGAAAATTGTTAGGAGCTATTTTACCCAATTATATGCCAATTAATTTGCCAGTCTAAATGAAATGGATGGATTTCTACAAAAATATAAATTACCCAGATTAACAGAAGAAATAAAATACTTAAATAACCCAATCTTAGAAAAAGAAATTGAACAAGCCATCAATGAACTTCCTAAGAAAAAAATCCCCAGGACCAGATGGATTCACAAGTGAATTCTATCAAACATTTAAAGAACAATTAATCCCAATCCAAAACTATTTGGAAAAATAGGCAGAGTCCTACCAAATTCCTTTTATGACACAAATATGGTGCTGACACCTAAACCGGGAAGAGCCAAAACAGGGAAAGAGAATCATAGACCAATTTCCCTATTGAACATTAATGCAAAAATTTTAAATAAAATACTAACAAAAAGACTACAGCAATATATTACAAGAATCATATACTATGACTAGGGAAGATTTATACCAGGAATACAGGACTGTTTCAGTATTAGGAAAACTATCAGCATAATTGACCATAGTAATAACAAAACCAACAGAAATCATATGATTATCTCAAAAGATACATTGACAAAATATAACACGCATTCCTATTAAAAATATTAGAAAGCATAGGAATATGCTTTCATAACATAAAATGATAAGAATTTCTCTAAAACTCAATGAGTGGCCAATACTCAGATCCAGCCTCCCTACCCTTCTTTTTGCTCTCATGGAGTGAAGGACAAAGGGACCATCTAGGGCAGGGGTTCTTAAACTTTTTCTGTGTCACGTACTACTTCAGTAATCTGGTGAAGCCTATAGAGTCTTCAGAATATTTTTTTAAGCAATTGAAAGAAATGTTAAGTTTCATTTAGAGGTTAATGAAAATAAAGAAGGGCAGCTAGGTGGCACAGTGGATAGAATGCCAGGCCTGGGGTCGGAAAGACTCATCTTCCTGAGTTCAAATCTGGCCTTATACACTAGCTGTGTGACCCTGGGCAAGTCACTTAAACCTGTTTGTCTCCATTTTCCCATCTGTCAAATGAGCTGGAGAAGGAAATGGCAAATCACTCCAGTATCTTTACCAGTAAGACCCCAAATGGGGTCACAAAGAGTCAGAAATAACTGAAAAACAACTAAACAGTAGAAAATAAAGATGTAATTTTTTTCCCCAGTCAAGTTCACAAGCTTCCTGAAATCTGTCTATGGTTCTGGAGGTACATGGACCTGAGGTTAAGAATCCTTGATCTAAAGTTTACTATGTCATACCAAACTGGCAAATCAGGGTTGAATTGTCCCAAGTGTGTCTGTGGAAGTTACCAGGGGAGCTCTGAAATAGCCTCTGTAGTTTGTGCTCCAATCCAACCCCCTTTACACTGTGCTCTATGTATTAATTAACAGAGAAAAATCCTTGAATAGGGAAGTCTGATGTATTTGAAAGAGCCTTGGATTTGAAGCTAGAGAGATCTGATTTCACATCTTGGCCATGCTACTTATAACCTGCGTCTTTGGCACCTCACTGGGCCTCAATTTTTTCATCTAAATGAAATGAGTAGGGCAACTAGATGGCACAGTGGATAGAGCACCAGCCCTGTAGTCAGGAGGACCTGAGTTCAAATGTGACCTCAGACACTTGACACTTACTAGCTGTGTGGGTCACTGGACCCAGATGGCTCTGGAGGAGAGAGTGAGAGGCTGGTGACTTTGCACAGCCCTCCCTCACTTAAATCCAATTCACTTGCAAGTCATGGCATCATGTTATGGTCCTCTTTGAGAATGAAGGACAAACCACAACCCTGGGCAAGTCACTTAACCCCGATTGCCTTACAAAAAAAATAAATCAAATGAGAGGGTTGGGCTAGATGATCAATCAATCAAAATATTTATTAAGTGCCTGTTTTGTGCCAGGTACTGTGCTAGGCTCTGAGGATATAAGTACAAAGAGTGGAACATCCCTATTGCAAATGAGCTTACATTCTACATAATGTGTATGTAAAAATGTATGCAGCATAAATATAAAGTTCATGAATATATGTGTGTGTGTATATATATATACACATGCAAATAGTTGAATACGAGTTACTGTTGGAGAGAGAGCATTGGCAGCTGGAGGAATCAAGAAAGGCTACAAGCAGGAAGAACATGGTGTCTGAGCTGCCTCTTAAAGGAAGAGAGGGACTGTATTGAAAAGTGGTAAGGAAGGAGTACATGGCAGGCATAGTGGATGGTTAGTGCAAAGGCTTGGAGATGGGAAATGGAGATACTCATGAGGGTTACTTCCAGCTCTAAAATCTTATGTTCCTATTAGAAATTCTAATCTTCAATTCTAAAGTTTTTTTTTTTGTTTGTTTATTTGTTTCTGTTATGAAGGGTGCTTTTTGTTAGTAGCAGTACTTATAAAGTACTTCTCAGTTGCTGGAGCTGTTTTATATGCAATACAGGGTGCATAAAGTGAGAAGTGAAAGCCCCGTACAGTCACACCCTATTGACCTCCTTATATTCTCTGTTGACCCTGACTTCTTGGTATTTTCAATTTCATTTTTGTGTGTGCTTTAAAATCAGAAGGGACAGGGCTTCAAGGATCATTTGAGGGCATCGAAAACGCAGTCTTGCACTGACTTTGCAGGATTCGCTTCCAGCTGCCTCTGACCTCCTTGCCCCTTGAACTAATTACTCTAGCTTGCTTCATGCTTAAACCAGTTCTTCTACTTTCGACCTCTATCTTCTGCCTGGCATTGTCATTTCAAACCTCCTCTTCCTTTGTGGTGGTGCGCTCTCAGTTTCAAGAGCTACTAAACACAAAGATACTATTTTTGTGCCTGCTCTTCCTTAGAGTCTGATGGCCAGCCATCTCACACATCTGGTGCAGGTGTAAGGGGGTATGGAGCATGAGTCCTGTGTCCCAGTGCTGGCTTATGGGCTAACTGTATGCACCCCTAGGACTGACCCACTGACTGTGCCCACCAGTGAAGGAGCTAGAAATGTGGCTCTCTGCTGCCCTCTGTGTTCCTTCTCAATGTTTCTGTGTCCTCACAGGACCTCTAGATCCTTAATGCCCTTGGGATGCAACACCGAAACTTCCTTGAAAATGAAATAACAGCATTTATTTATTTAGTGTATGTATTTTTACAATTGATATGGTTGCTTGACAGTGTAAGACTCTTAGAATTATTTTATTTCTGATTTTATTGTCAGTCAGTTTGGGTCAGGAAAAAAACTACTCTGTACTGTTAAAATAAAAAAAAAAAGTATTCTATCTGTAAGATTCTGAAGATCCAAATCTATGTCTCTAAGGATGGTGATAAAAATTTTTGTTTCTCTCTCCTCCCTCCTACACTCTCTCTTTCTCTCTCTCCCACTCCCTTCCTCTCCTCTCCTTTCCCTCTCTTCTTCGTCTCTCTCTCTTTGTCTCCCTCCCCTCCTCTCTCTCCCTTTCTATCTCTGTGTGTCTGTCTTCCTTCCCTCCCTCCCTCTCTCCCCCCTCCTCTCTTCTCCTTTCCCTTCCTCTCCTCTCCTCTTTTCTTCTCTCTCTCCCTTTGTCTGTCTATCTCTGTCTCCCTCCCTCCTTCCCTCTTTTCCTCTTCCTTTCTGTCTGTCTCTTTGTCTGTCTGTCTCTGTCTGCCCTCTCTCTGTCTCCCCTCTCTCTCTCCTTTTAGGGCTGCTGCCCAAAGCAAACTAGGTCACTACACGGATGCAATAAAGGATTGTGAGAGAGCGATAGAAATCGATTCCAAATACAGCAAGGCCTATGGGAGAATGGGGTAAGCTCTCTAGAAGGATGTTCCAGTTGGTCTTGGAGTTCTTTGCTGCTGTTACATACATGGTTCTTCACTTATCATTTAACATTTTATGCCCTGAACTAATGTGGAGATTTAATATAGTTGCGGAAAGGGAAAAAGAACTGATCTAAGTCCCAGTGGTTTGTAGGTGAGAGAATTAGAATTAGAATTAGGGCCTCTGATCTCTTTGTATTGGCACACTGGTAGAAAATAGCTTTTTGCTTCTAGTGCTAATCCTTCTGGCACTATGAATAATTATGTATTGTATTAATGTATTAAGTGAGTGCTGAAGTTTGTCCAAATGGCAAAAGGCTGTGGCTGGCCAATCAGGCTAGAATTGAATTAGTTTGATTTTAAAACAGAATCAACAAACAGCCCAGTTTAGGGATTATGCCGGTAGTTGGCCCTTGTTTTTCAGTGTGATTGTAAAGACTATCCAATAAAGGGATCCTGACTAGGTGGAGCTGGGCTGAAATGGGATAAACGCCTGCTTAGGTCACAGTTTATGCTGATGGCATAGAGATGAATACTGGGAACTGATAACTCAGTTACTTTTTTTTTTTTTAAAGCAGTGCTTCAGAGCTTTTTGTTTGTTCTCTCTGCTGCAAAACATGAAGCAAGTCCAAAGTCCTTAAAGTGTCCATCCCAGGAAATTGTTTAACATACTGGAACTGTACGATTAAAAGGATCTAAATCAGCTGCAGTGTTTGCAGAGCTTAATTTAGAGATCCACAAAACAAAACTTGCAGAATACCACCCTTAAAAGTGAAAGGACAGATGGAGATGATGTCTGCTGAGCATGATACCTCAATGGCCAAGAGCTAGATTGCAATTTCCTGTAGCCATAGAATCCTTCCCTCCAGCCAAGTTGTGAGGTCCAACTCTAATATGGACTGGATATTACAAAAGGCAAGGTGGTATGGTGGAGAACTGTTCAGGAAGACTGGATTTCAGTTATGCCTCTGAGATATACTGGCTGTGTGATTCTGGGCAAGTCACAAGTCACTTAAATTTCAGTGCTCTAGGCAATTTTCTAAGACTGTAACTTGTAGGGAAGGTGCCAACTTGCATTGGTAAGGGGAAGTTCTTTACCTTGGAGTTCCCTGTACCAATGAAGTCACAGATGTAATCCATTTTCCTATCCCTTGCATTATAGAAACCTTGGACAGATTTTGTGATGTGTTGACATTAAAAAAAAAAATAATGAATGATGTTAGATTTCTACCCTGATTTGCTTTTTTCTCCTCAGGCTGGCCCTCACTGCCATGAATAAATATGAAGAAGCAATTACAAGTTATCAAAAAGCACTGGATCTTGACCCAGAAAATGATTCTTATAAGTCTAATTTGAAAATAGCAGAGCAGAAATTGAGGGAGGTGGCCAGTCCTGTAAGTTATTCATGGTAGCTCGCTGGAATATTTTTGTCTGATATGTCTATGCTTTGTTTTAAACTATAATGGGGGTGTGTGATTTTGGGGCATAATTTCATTACAGACTGGAACAGGACTGAGCTTCGACATGGCTAGTTTGATCAACAATCCAGCCTTCATTAGCATGGTGAGTACACTTGCTTGATTTCTTCTGTGGTATGGCTCTCGTAGCTGAGTGTCTGCTTCACAGAAAGTATGATACAATGAGTGAAAGTAAAGACTGCATTTAGGAGAAAGATATCTGAAGGTTTTTACCACAGTGGTTTCCTTAGATTTTCCCTTTTTATCCCATCCTGCTGCCCCTCCTCCTTCCCACCTAAAGCACCGTTTGCAATGCAAGATCTGGCAATTTAACTTTTTGATCATCCAATTTCAGCATCCCCGAGCCTTTCCCCAATCCACCCTGCCAACAACAACAAGAAGTGGGTAGGTTTACACTTGGCTGCTTGATTCTGACATTTCTGAACATAAATGATACTCATTCTGGGGCTTGGATTACGCTGCTCATTTTTAGGGATAAAGGCTGCAACTGAGTTCAGGAGCCTTGAACAGGGACAACACTCGACAAGCAATTATCTTTTTGGTAATAAAGCAAACGGGAGTTTTTCCTCAGTGCTTGTAATTTAGTGCCAGGAAATAAAGAAGGAAGTGTAATCTACAGATTGATAGCTGTAAATAATAAATATTGTCCAAACCTTTGCCAATGTACCAGGCAGAAAATGGGCATGCATCCAAAACAGAACATGGGATGGTATATCTGAACAAGCATTCAGACATTTAAGGAAAAGAAATAAAACCTTTGGATTCTACTGAAGTGCCCCCCCTCCCCACCTCCCTTTTTATTGGCAAATGGGCCACTTCTAATGCAAGGGGCTTTTTGGGTCATATCTTTAATTTGTTCTCATTCCTTTTGACTCAGGTACCTAGTCGATAAAGTGACTGCCTTCATTGGAGCATGATAGTGTTATCCAAAATCTCTCTGCCCTTGGAACATAATTCCTCAGTGCCATTTTCTCAGTATCTTATCTTTCTTTCCACACCCACTTATCTTGCACATTATAATCAAATTCCATGAGATATAGATGCACACATTATGCTTTCTACCTCCACCCCACTTTTTAAAATGTGCTTGTAAATTCTGACTTAATGGGAGTTATTTCCTGTCTATTCCAGGCAGCGAGTTTAATGCAGAATCCTCAAGTTCAACAACTGTGAGTATTTGGATGTTCTGAGAGAGAGAGAGAGGGAGAGAGAGAGAGAGAGAGAGAGAGAGAGAGGGAGAGGGAGAGAGAGAGAGAGAGAATAGGAGGGAGGAGAGAGAAACAAAGCATATTCCATATTACCTTCATACTTGGGGGTTAGCTAGGCATCTGAGAAATTAAGAACTTTAAGCCATTGCCAGAAATTACTCTGAACTCATCTTTTTTGGGGAGTTCTCAATCAAAATGATCCACCTCTAGTCCTCTAACTTCCTCTCTATGCTTTGGGTTCACCTCACTCTCCCCAGGCACCAAACCCTATTACTAGTTTGTTGAGAATGTGTAACCATCCCTATAACTTCTTTCTTGCATTTTCTAGCATGTCAGGAATGATGACAAATGCCATTGGGGGTCCTGCTGCTGGGGTTGGAGGCCTGACTGATCTGTCCAGCCTCATCCAAGCGTAAGTGTCATGTTTAAGGGAATTCCTTTTCAGTGTTTTGTGAGAAACTTCAGCCCACCTTGCCTGTAAAGTAAAACTCCCAAATAATTTTTTTTAGCAGTATGGTGTATATATATATATATATATATATATATACACACATATACATATACATAGATATAGCAACATCCTGGTTAGTGTGTATAATGAATCCCATGAAGTGGTCCATGAATTCAAATTCATACTATTCAAAGTTATAATTTTATAAAATATGGTAATTGGTTCCAGCCCAATGAAAAATGCCATGTGTATTTGGATAATGTGTCCATTTCAGGGGACTCATCATTAGTACTCACTGGGGCCTAGCTGTGTTTGAAATAGGACCAAATTTGAAACTGCGGAATTTAGAGTCCCAGCTCTACTACCTGCTAGCTGTGTGACCTTGGGCAAGTCTGTTTACCTCATTTAATTTCACTTTCCCCATTTGCAAACGGGTCAATAATAACTCGAACTTCCTGCCTCAGAGAGTTGTTGTCAAAATCAACTGATATGAGGTATATAAAGCACAATATAAATGTCACCTATTATTATTTGATCTTTACTTCTGATACTAGTGTCACCTTGTCACCTTCACTACCCATCTAGATGGTGCAGTAATTAGAGCACTAGCCCTGGAGCCTGGAAGACCTGAGTCAATTCAAATCCAGCCTCAGATACTTACTAGCTTTGTGACCCTGGGCAAGTCACTTGACCTCTGTGTGCCTCTGTTTCTTCATCTGTAAAATGAAAATAATAGTAGTACCTACCTCCCAGAGTAGTTGTGATGATAAAATTAGTATTTATAAAATGCTTTATAAACCTTAAAGGCTACTATTACTACTATTATTGTTTTTAATTACCTTCCATGTCTTCAGAGTTAACAAAGCTGAAAAGGAGTATGCACATTAGAATTTCTTGTTTAGAGTTTATTAGTTCTGGACAGTGAGACAAAAGGTCTGAATTCTCTGCTTAGCTCTGTCTCTATGATTAGGAATTCTGTGAATTATTATGTTTCTAACAACATATTGAAATATTTTTGCATGCATTATTTTGTTTATCTCATTTTACACATGGAGAAACTGATGCACATATTGGTTAATTACATGTGGAGAGAACCCATGGCAGCTCTCAAAATGAGGTCCTAGTTCTTGAGGCTACTATGCCTTACTGTTGATTATGCGGTCACTATGTGGCTCCCTAGATTCTTAAATAAGGATGTTAATGTCTTCCTCCCTTCCCTCCTGTTCTCCAGAGCATCCTAAAGGTTGCTGAGCTAGGATCTCTGTCTGCTCTAGAATATAAATTCATCAATAAAAAAGAAGCTATGCTAATTAACAACGAGCCACCTCCTCTGGATGTGTTCCATACACATGTTCCAGATGTCTTTCAAGCCTGTTGTTGTTGTTCAGTAGTGTCTCACTCTTTGTGACCCCCATTATGGGGCTTTCTTGGCAAAGATACTAGAGTGGTTTGGCATTTCCTTCCCCAGTTCTTCCAAGCTTAGAATCTTTTTAATTTAATGGAAGTAAATCTTGACAGATTGCATTTAACAATTTCTGCTCACATGGGCTCTACCTTGAAAATAGAGGTGTATGTCTTATAAAATAATGTCTTATATAAAATTATTATATAAAATGTCTTATACAATTAATTACTTTGGGAAATTTTAGCTCAAAAACACATATGTACTTCCTTTCCATTTCTCTCTTTCTCCTCTCCTCTCCTTCCTTCCTTTCCTTCCTTCCTTCCTTCTCTCTCTTCCTTTCTTCTTTCCTTCCTTCCTCCCTTCCTCTTTCTTTCCCTATCTTCCTTCCTCTCTTCCTTCCCCTTCCCTCCTCTTCTCACATAAGCATGCCAGCTTGAGTGTAAAGATTACTAGAAAACAGTGTATTTTATTCAAGGAACAGAACTTAGAATAGAAAGGTGTGAGGATACCCTATGGACTAGATTTTACTAGATTTTGACCTGTAGAGTACATATTGAACTTTCATAGTTTTGCTTGGCTTATTCTTTTTAACAGAAATCCTGACAGAGTTTTATCTCAGAATTGCCAGCTTGTACAGTGTATCTGTGTATCCTTATGGCCTCTTCTCCTTCAATTTGCTGTTTTTTCCCTGTGACTGAAGGGGTTTAATTGCTAGGTTGGTGGTTAGCCAGGTGGAAGTTAGTCCTCTTTTGGGAGGAAGCCAGTGAAGGCCTTCAAAAACGTCCTGCCTCACTGTCGTGTAACTGCTTCACTATTTCTTTCCATTGCTCGTGTTCGTCTGCTTAGAACCATGGTTCACAGGGCATGTTTCTGGGTACACTAGGTTTTGGTAGTTTTTTTAGACTTTACCTAGTGGTAGGTTTTGCTAGATAGGCCTTGAGATTTTGGACATCATATTGCAATTAACATTAGTAAATAATTTTATTTAATATAAATTTTACTTATCTATCATTCATAGCATGATTAGTATATTAATCATAAATTATGTAAACCTTACCTGTTACACATATGCACTAACCTCAGTTAGACTTTGAACCCATAAAGAATTCCGTAAAAATGTCTGCTGTTATCCAAGGAAAGCTGCATGCTGCATGAGTTTCCCAACTCTCTCATGGATACTATTACCAATATGAGGATTTAAGTGACACTAGTCCTGATGTCAAATACTGTACAAAAGAAAAAAAAAGTTTTTAGAACGAACTCAATAGTTAAATGAGGCCTACCCCAGGCATCATTATGGCTTTAACAGTTCCCTCTTGGGGTACACCAGTATATTGCAGTCGTCCTGTGCCAATTCTAAGTTCACAGCTTAGTTTTTTCTGTTTGCTCAGTTCTAAATGCTTTCTGGGGGCACCTTGATTTTGCCCAGGGACTTCAGCCAAACCTTCACTCTGTGTTGGCTGTCGGTTTTGGACTCTACACCAGAAGACTGGAATGGAGCAGGCCTAAGCAGAGGCAGCTAGGTGGTTCAGTGGATAGAGCACTGGACCTGGAATCAGGAAGACCTGAGTTCAAATGTGGCCTCAGACACACACTAGCTGTGTGATCCTAGGCAAGTTACTTTAACTTGTTTGCCTTAATCCACTGGAGAAGAAAATGGCAAGCCACTCCAGTATCTTTGCCAAGAAAACCCCAAATTCATGAAGTGTTGGACACAGCTGAACAACAGCGACTTGCTTTTTATTGGGGAAGATGAATTTTCCTTTTGTAGGCTTTCATTTTGGGCAGTTTCAGTCAAGTCCCTAAGTATTTAATAAACACCTACTTTGTGCCAGGTTGTATACTATGTTCTGGGAATAAAAAGAGAAGAAAAGAAAGTTCCCAGCCCCCAAGGAGCTCACAGTCTAATGGGGGAGACAGCATACAAACAACTGTGTACAAGTAAGATAAAATTGAAGGTAGTCTCAGAAGGAAGTCATTAACATTAAGCAAGACTGAGAAAAGCTTTTTGCAGAAGGTGGGACATTAGCTGAGGAAGGAAACCAGGGAAGCCAGGAGGAGGAGAGAGGGGAGAGTCCGGGCATGGGAGGCAGCCAGGAAAGATGCTTAGAATTAGGTCCTGGAGTGTCCTGAGCATCAGAGAGGCCAGCACAGTACCTGCAGTGTGGTATTGGTAGCATTTGCATGTTCTGCACAACTGTGTTTCCGGTCTTGTCTCCGTTTCCTTTTGCATATGTTCTATATCTTTGGGTTATTTTCCCTGCTCTCACTGCCTTCTATCTGTTTGCTGCAGGGGACAGCAGTTTGCTCAGCAGATACAGCAGCAGAATCCTGAGCTCATTGAGCAGCTGAGAAATCATGTCCGGAGTAGATCCTTCAGTAGCAGCACTGAAGAGCACTCCTGACTTGATGGGAGACTCACCTCCTAGAACTACAATGTGAATGGTTTTATAGGCCTGACATGTTTACTGTAGTTAGTTGGGGGGGGAGGGGGGGAGAAGAAAAAAAGAAAGGGCACCATTTTAACTCTGCTGCTTGGAAATGAGATGAAAAGAAAACCCTTGGTGTGTTTCTTTAAGAACAAATCTGTTTAGAAAATACATTTACCACTCACAGACTTGAACATATCATGGTACGTAGAGTGATTCCTTTGTAAATGAGTATTTAATAGCCTTGTTAACTAGGATACCAACATAATAGTTGACAAAATTCTATTTTCAGTCTCTGTCTTGTGTATTAGTATTGTGTCAGGGCCTCTTCACAGAAGGAAACATTAACTGAACACTAGGTCTGTTTGTTGGTAAGGATTGGCTCAGAATCCCTTTAAGATACTTGTTGGGGCAAGGGTGAGGAAAGGTTTTTCAATGCCACCTTATTCATTTGAAGTTCAGGCATCTTTGCTCTGTGTCCCAGAAGCACTGTATTTGCACCCGAGCAGCACAGAGCCAGGGCTAACACAGCTTGCCCTCACTCTTGGTGGGTTCCAATCTGACATTGCTCAGATCTGAGGATCCAGACTATAGTTACCAGTGTCAGCTAATTAAGCATTGCTCATGGTAATGGGTGAGAAGAAAACTAGGAGCTGGTGAAAAGGAAAGCATGGAGTAGTAGACGGTAATTTAAAAGGAAAAAAACAAGGTTGAGGAGCCAGGGTTGGGGGGGGGGGGTTGGAATGGAGATTGAGAGGAAGGAGGGAGATACAGAGAATGAAACTGGGGATGGGATGCCTAGATTTTATACACAACAGCCCTTAGCGTCTTACCCACAATGTGGTACTGGTAGGATTTGCATGGCCAGCTGTGTTCTGTATAAATATGCATACAAATGCATATATATGAATGTGCATAATGAAATATGCTTAGAAATCTTTTGTGGTGATACATAAGTCAGCTATGTAACGGTATCATTTAACTAGCACAATTTTACCACTGGAAACCTCACCACAGGCAAAAAACAAAACAAAAAACTTAACGTGGGTCATTATATATATTAGGTTCAAATAAATCAATGGCTTGTACTTGAGGGTTTTCTAAGTGCATTTAATTATGTTCTAATAAACATTGGTTTTTTGATCTTGGCAATTTTATGATGGATCATAAATGATATCTGTGACTAATATTGCTTGCTTATACAATCATCTGCTTCCTTAAGCTTAGTTTGGCACGCCAACCTTCTGTTTTTAAGTATCTTGTCAAATACAAAATTTAACCATCACCTTTATCGGAGACATGACAAGTGTTCCACTCCATGCAGGATGCTATAATCAGAAGAGTAAAGGTGTTATGAGAATACTAAAGAGGTCTGTGGCTAAAACAGTGGACTAGACTGGGTTTTAATCCCATGTTAACCTCACATTTGTGTGTGCCACTAGACATCAGCCTATCTGGGATCTCCTCCTTGATTCCTGCTGTTGGTACAGATCACAGCCCAACTATGCCTTCTTTTATCCTGTGACATTTTTATCCTTGTTCTTCTAGAGACCCTTCAAAGAGGAGCTACACAATGTGTCAGAGACTTTTGTTTAAGTTCTTTCTACATTTCATGGGTTCGAATATGGCTTGGTCCATCTGTTATCCTTTACCCTTGCTCCTTTTCCAGCCAGACATTTGCTGATTGATGCCCTTTAGGTCACTACTTGCACCCAGGGTAGGTCACTAGTGTCATAACATAGGGTCAATCCACAAATCTCATAAGTATTATGAGAGAGGGCCTGTGAGAGAATCACCAAGCACTTCATTTCTTTTTTTTCATTTATCAATTTATTTTTCAGATCTTCTGTCAATGCCAGTAGTTTCCTATTTTCATCCTTTTAGCTTATTCTGGAGTATCCCAGTTACCAATCCAAAATTCTTACCTCCACCATCCAACTTCTCATTTCTGAAGAAAGGATTGCTGAAAATCAGCTTTTCAATGTAACTTTGTAATATGGTGTTAATCACAAGGTTAACTCCACCTCCCCCCATCAGTTTTTTTTTCCTAATCTATCAGAGCCAGTAGTTTTCTGTGTTCCTTTTTTTTGGGGGGGGCGGTGTTGGGGGTAATGCAAGGTTTTTCTTCTTTTAACTTGACACTTATCAAACATGTGGTATGTGTATGTGCTAGGTATGGGGAATACAAAGATACTAGGAAATAATTTAACCTAATCCAATCCACCCAGCTTGACGTCATCACTGTTGATTCCCTTTGGCTTCTCCATTGGCTCAGATGTTCTCTTTGCACAGTGGCTTGATGCTAATGACTCCTTTCTCTGCTCTGAGGCAAGCCCTGCCAAAGATCACTCCTCTATTCATCCTGACTTCACCCCATCTGGGTAGGAGTAGGGAACATCCTGGAGGTGCTATGACTACTAAGCTCTCTATTCAGATAAAATATAGTATGATTATGGTTGCAGAAAATCTGCTACCACTGATCTTCCCAAAGGTCTCAGCCCAGATCTTCTTTCTATTGTGATTGAAAAATAACCCTTCTCTTATCCCTTTCCACAAGACTAGAGCTTCTTCTGCAGTTAAACAAAATATTTTAAAAGTTAGGCTTCATGAAGCAGGGGGAATAGGTATAAAGCCATACTCCTATCCAGCAGGGAAGATGAGAGTGGGAAAGGGAAGGACAATGACCAAACTTGCTTTGGTGAGTCTTAATGTATTATGAATGTGAAATACTGAAAGAAGAGGTTGGTTGTTACTCAGTGGCTTCAAGTATTTTACCCAAACTAATACATCTTGTGTGCTCAAGGCCAGATTCTTTGTACTCCTGGTTTGCTCCTAATTACCTCGCATGAAACCTTACTAGCCTTCGAGATACCTCTGTAGCTTGACTCTGGCCTCTTGCCAGAAGTCAATTTGATTTTAATGAATAACTAATCACCCTTGCAAATATCAGCTGTTGATGTTAGATTTACTAGTGGCAGTACTCTTCAAGCACATTAAAAAATATTTTGAAACCCTCATTTCTTTATTCTCTCTAGTGCTTGTAGTCAAATTATGATGTTCTGTATGAAAGTGGTTTCCATCTATCACCTTTGTTTTATGTGAAGTACAAGGGCATTTGGTTGATGGAACTATTTCTACTTCCTGCTTTTAACCCTTCTTGACTTCTGAAGACGTCTTTCTTAAGATTTCTCATCTTATTAAACACTTTCAATTTGATATATAAATCATATAATCTTAGCTCTTGTCTGCTCCTCAGGATTTGTGATTTATTTGGACATTTGGCTACACAAAACAATCTCCTCTATCTCTCTCTCATCAAGTTTAGGAGCTGGGCATCTTGTCATCTTTATGCATGATGAAGAATCTCCCTTATTGATTTACTGGGTGAAATTTTTGTAGTCCTTCCTTCTGCTCAAGATTCCAAAAACATCCCTTGAACTTTCCCAGTTTTTGTATGTCCAGATGGGAACTTGTTCTGATCAAGTTATATATTACTGTTTATTCAATTAAATTTTTTTGTGAGGTGAGGTGGTGGTGTGTCCAGAATTATGATATCACTAATGTAGGAATTTCCAGGAGCCCCAGGTTTAATTCCCTCTATTGATGTAAAAGACTCAGAAAAAGTTTCTCAACTTCATTAAGTAGATTTCTGCTGTTATGGTTGTATTAATTAAGATGTTGTATGTAATCCTTGACTTGTGCTTAGGTGGCAATGTCCATTTCATGTACCACACAGCAAAGAATGAGTTTCATACCTATCTTTTACAGTTTATGTGTAATACAAGTCCTTGTCTTTTCTAACTAATGGCATTATCAAATGTTACAGGGTTACACTACAAGTGAAAGTATAAACTGTGCGAGGGTCCAATTACTTGTATATTAACAGAAGAGGCTTTATAATCCTGAAACCAAACAATGTAGCAACTCCCAAGTGACCACCACAAATTAAATGCTTTTCCATTTGAATCTGGGAAAAAACAAAAGGGTCCTTCATGAGAAAATGTATGATGAAAAACTAACGTGCCAATTATACTGGCTACATGATTTTGCTGTCATTTAACTCATCTTAATCACCGAGAAGGAGGAAGAAAAAGACTTTATAATTTTAACTAATTGCACTTTATTTTACACTGAGGACATTTCATACGGAGTATTCAAATTAAAGTGGCAAACCATGTTCTGAAATCACTTTCATTTTAGGCCAACAACAGTTTGTCATGGGAATTAATAAATACTTATGCGTTTAAAACAAATGGATGTTTTTAAATTATTTAAGCCACACACTTAAATTGTATGTATAGTTTTTAATTATTTTGGCTTGCCAAATTAGTACTGCTTTTTACATAATGGTGTATGAACTTTTATTTTGCTGACACTGTTCAAATGGCTTCATTATTATTTCACAAAAAAGCTTCATAGCACCGTATATTCAGCATTTTCTTTGGCTGTGTGACAGTGATAAGCAAGTTTGGTAATTAAACATAATGAAGGGGCAATTTATCATAAGAAAATAAATACAAGAAGCACTCAGACTTCAAACATAAGAGATATCAACATTGGAATGGTGAAAATCATTGTAGCAAGAGTGGTAGATTTTAGGTTGCAGCAAATCATTTCCTGGCTTTGAGAGATGGGAAAATTCCATTGGACTCCTTATTTAGTAATAAGAAGACTAAGTTATCACACAGTTATAACAAGGCCCAACTGTGGGAGGAATAACTGTTGGAACTTGACCAACTCTGACCATGTTGCTATGACTAAGACAAAATTGTTAATATCAGGAGAAAAAAGAAAGCTTCATGTGTTTTAAATAAAAAGCACTGCCTGACATTCCCAATTATTTCTAAGCCTATTAGACAAGCACTTATACATGTAGGTAGTAAATATCACAGATTAAATGAAGGAGACAGGCCTCAGCCATTCTAAACACAGTCCTTGAGAATTCTATCTACTCTGAAAAGCTGGGGGGGACGGTGTTAGGGGTGGAAGTGGAGAGAGGGAGAAGCAGGCTAAATAGAACAGTTATGAATTCTTTATATAAGCTACAATAGTTAGAATTCCATAAACCTTCTAAGTGAAAGCATTTTATTACCTAGGTTGCCACCTAGAGTTGAATGAAAAATTACAGCTGCATTGTTAGTGAGGCCCCATCATTTTCAAGTGCTAGCCTCTGACAAAGGAAGGGAACTGGGGTCTACCTACAATGAGTCCAAATGAGGTAATACTGCAGAAAATATAGATGTGAAGAATTATAATTTATTGTCTTGCAGAAGACACAGTCCGGAGACTTTAAACTATAACATTGTGTCTAGAATATCCAAAGTCTCATTACCATTTCAAGGAAGAAATTTAAATAATAATAAAATTACTTGTGATGTGCTTATATTCCTAATAAAACCTGATGGTAAAACATTTTTAACATTCAGATTAAAAAAAAATAGAAAAAGTTGTTTAAAGAAATATCATAGAAACCACAAAGACCAAAGACTTTCTTTAGCCTTCTACTTGAATGGTTGATGACACTACACAGACTTGAGCAATATCATCATATTCATATGTTCTCTTCAAGAATGTGTCAGTTAGTCGTAAGCCAGAGACACTCTGGTGGGAGAAAAAAAGAGAAAGAAAGCGGGTTTTCATTACTTGGTCAAGAGTATAAAGGGCTGAATTAATAAGAACAAAACTTGGTATAAGTGGCTATCAAAATCTAGATTACAATTTGAAGGTGAATGTTATGCCTACAAACTTGACATTACTAAAAAGAAAAGTCACATACTTGCAGTCCCTGTACAGAAGAAAGCAGTGTGAGGGCAAGATAAAGAGATGAACTGGGGTTCAGCTTTCCAAGCTGTCTTCCTGAAACTCCACACCAGTGGATGGAATTTGTATTGCACATTTCCAAAACCAGGTCCATGGTCCTTTCACTGCTAGAGAGATCAGAAAAATAGGAATAAATCTAGTACCTTTCAGAAAGGCTTAGAGTAGCACATTTCTTCAGTTTCAATTAGCGCTCCTGTTAACTTACGTTTAATAAACTTCCTCCCCAGGAATAGAAAGGAAAACAAGCTGCAGAAATAAAAGGCAATTTGCTGGCTTTGATTTAGTGTTGCTGCCTGGCTTTGTATCAAGTCTTACATTCTGGCTTCACGCACTGGTTTGTAAATGTAAAAGGACATCTTTCAATCCTCTCCTCTCCCCTTCACATCTCTTTTCCTTCCTTTTCCCTGAGATACAAGTTGCCATCATCTTCACTTTTTCTTGATTTCCAGATTTAAAACGGCATCTGAAGTAACCTGTCCGTCTGGATGCCGGACTTTCTGGTTTTAATTCCAGCACTGAACCCCTGGTGCTAGTCATCTCTTGTTCAAAGCGTTGCTCTTGCTCTGAAAGGCATTCAGAATTCTTGCCTAATCCTGCCGCTTTCTAGCTCTTCTGTTTCTATTAAATGCTCTTCATCAGGAATAAAAAGGACAATCTGGGTCTGTTCCAAAAGCCATTTTGACGTTTAATCCAATTCTCTGACTAGATTTGTAGTGATAGGGCTCACAGACATGCAGATACATGAAAGTATCTGCCCAGAAATGAAGAATCATAGGATCGTGTTCAGGTCTGATCATTACTAATAATATTTCATCTGCAAATCCTACTGCTCACAATATTGCAACTAAAGTTTCATTTTAAATGGCTTTATAATGTGCTTTTTATAAATAACAGTTGTCTAAAACTCAATTTCCATGACCTAGTTGGGTATAATATCCTAAGATGTTAGACAAGTGATTTTTAGAGAAATGTTGTCACTGAATCACCTCCCGTTAAGATAGTAACTCTGAAAAAAACTAAAACTATTGACTTTTATAGTTCCTCTATTATTAGAGATATACTTTTAAAGGGCTATAAACCCCAGATTTGGGAGATTCTTGGGATGTTTGTAGATTACTTCAATTTCTGAATGTTAGGAACATCATCCACTGATGAACATTATTACCCAAATATCTTCACAGAATTGACAACAAATACTGTCACCATGAACTAGTATTTTAGCACTGAGGCCTTTCAAAGTATTTTCATATCCATTATTTCATTTTCTCCTTCCCTTTTGTGGAAAAAAAGGAGGAAACAAGCATTTATTAAGTGTATATTATGTGCCAAGCACCGTGCTAAGTGCTTTACAAATATCTTATTTGATCCTCACAACAATCCTGTGAGGTTATTGCTATCATTATCAGTCTTATTTTATAATTGAGGAAACTAAGGCAGATAGAGGCTACATGACTTGCCCAGGGACACACAGATAGTATGTGTCTTGAGGCCAAATTTAAAATCGAGTCTTCCTGACTCCAGGCCCAGTGCTCTACTCACTGTACCACAGAGCCTTCTTGTGGGCTAGCCTGGAAAGATATCATCATTTTAACATGTGGAGAAATTGAGAAACATGAAGAATAATGGACTTGCCTAAGGTCACACAGCCAATTAATAATCTAGTAGTTACACCATGCTTTTCTTTATGAAAAATTAGATAACGTGCCTCATGAAAACTTTAACAATTCATTATAATCTGTGTGATATATGATTGTCTACCTCAGGAAGACAGTCTAGTTTTAACTTTCAGGATACAGAGGATGGATGAAATTACGTAAAATGTAAGGCAATGCAAATGATTTTCAAGTGTGGCATATGGACTCCATCTCATTGTTTTACTGTTATATTTTTTAGGTATGTTGGCTCTTTGGCCACTTAAGACAGGATAACAAGTTCTCAGCTGCCTAAGTTCATAGGATTCAACATCATTCAATAAAACATACAGGATATCTGCCAAGACCACACTTAAAAGGACAGAGGCATTTTCCAAATAAAAAACATATTCTGAAGAGAAAAAAGTCAGAACACAGACATTACCTGCAGTTTGTTATTTTACAAGTAATATGAAAAGGTTCTTCCAGATTTACAGTATCTGGGATTGCCTCCAAAGACAATCTAACATCACCATAACCTGGGGCCTGAGGGAAAAGAAGGGGAAAAAAACCCAGAATTTTATTTAATACAGAATACTGTTAGCTCATCACAATGAAAGTACCAATGCAAACAAGGATATGGCCCAGGTCATATGGTGTTTATATCTCAGAGGGTGGTATCCTGTTGCATCAAAGTTCTAAAAGTTTAATTCATTTTTCTCCTGTAGGTCCCTCATCTCTACCTTTTGTGACACTGCTACTTTAATGGGAAAAGGGGCCCAGAAGTTACTTATTCTGGCTATGGCCAAACAGTTAGGAAGAACCTGGCAGATGGCTTGGATGTGGGCACCAGGTGAAGATGGCATTGAGCTTTAGGAAGGTTCTCAGAAGTGTTATTGCTTCCATGTGCTTAATAAAAATACTAGAAAGAAGAAACCACTACTCTTACCACATAACAATTGGGAGGGGAAATCATGGTTTTTCACAGACATATTAGTAGTGACTATGGCACACTGAGATAGCAGAGTGATGTGAAAGATTGTGGAACAAATAAAGATGAGGTGATAGCTAATGCCAATTACCTTAATTTTTAAATTATGTTATTTATTTTTACATTTTAATTGGTTTATTTTGTCTTTACATCACTTTTATCTTCAAATATATCTCTTCCCTCCCCTACAGTCCAGTCATCACTTGTAATACAGAATTTTTTTTAAAAAGGAGAAAAAGACAGTTCCATCAACAAAATTTGACAGTATACACAACATTCCACACTCACAGTCTCCCAATTCTCCAAAGAAAGGAGACATAAAGCTAACTTCCTAGCAGTCTCACTGGCTCAGCAAATTATTTATTTCTTTCTGAAAAAAGTGGCTGTTCAAATAATGCCTATCTTTCCTTCTGAAATGACTATTCCAGCATGAAGAGCAACAATTTTACTCTGGCAGTTTAGAACAAGGTCAAGGAAATTTTTTTATTGAACAGTCTCAATAGTCTGAGGGAACAGACACCTGGACAGTGGTCCTTATCTTTGGAGCAGGAGCCACAGAAAATAGGAAAGCCATCATCATGTTCACGTTTTCTTGATTTATTAACATAAGAACTCAAACCTGCTTTAATCTATTTACCATATTTGCTTTGTAAAATATAAAGTCAATTCTTACTTAAAGAACTGTGAGACGATCAGCCTTTTGCCTGCTCTCCTCTAGTGATGCTATTCTCTTATTTACTGATAAACACTGATAAGACAATTTATTTAACAAAAAAAAAAAAATGTTCTTGAGGCAGGTAGGTGGCATGGTGGATAGAGCACCGGCCCTGGAGTCAGGAGGACCTGAGTTGAAATCTGGCCTCAGACACATAACACTCATTAGCTGTGTGACTCTGGGCAAGTCACTTAACCCCAAATGCCTCACCAAAAACAAAAAAACAAAACAAAACAAAACAAAAAAGTTCTCACCATTCTCTGCAGTTGACTGGTCTGCAATCTTCCTCTTTCACCCAAGTTTGTTTTCCACACTATATCTAATTTTCCGATTACTGTTACTCCCTTAATAATTCCAGCTTTTTCTGCAAATTCCTGCTTGGGTTTCAGACAGTATAAATACTGCCGGGTATCCAATGGTTGCAAATATGTCCTTGAGCCAAATGTGGACACACTGAAGGAGGAATTGAATAGCCAAAAATCTTTAGCATCTTTAAAAAAATATTGCCTCCCACTTCAAGCAACATGATATATAGATTATTTAACAGGCGCAACATAACATCACTGACTTAAAATATTTGAAGGGCTGTCATCCTTCTTTTGGTAAATATTTCAGGGGTAGGAGACAAAGGCTATCTTCAACTTTTTGACAGCTATTCATCAAAAGGGTCTAGCTTACTTTACAATGTTTTAGAAGGAAGAACTCAAAGCAACAGGTGGCAGTTAACATTTTAGTACAATTTCATTTCAATACAAAGAATTTTCTAACAATTAAATGGACTGCTTATAAGGAATTAAGCTCTCCATAATGTGAGGTATTCAAACAGAAACTTGATAAACAATTTTTTAGGGATTTTGTAGAAGGGATTCATATGACTTGTAGAAGACTGGACTAACTGACCATCAAGGTCCAATGTAATGATAAAATTGTATGAAGGGCTGTGTGTTATGAATACTTTTTAAAACTATTTGATAAATTTAATATTGACAAATTTTGTTTTTCCATCATCTTCATTTCTGAATATGTCGCTAATGAAATATATTTCTAACGAAACTAATGAAAGTTAGTACAGCAATATACCAACTAAATCTGGTAATATATGCAATGTTGCTTTCCTATGGTGACAACCAGGGTCATTACATTTGCATATTATTTAGTTTACTTAAAATTTTTTTCACTTGTATTATTGTAGTTATTGTGCATTTGGTTTTTTTTTCTGGTTCTGCTTGCTTTACTTTGAATAAGTTCATTTAAGTTACCACTGCTTCTCTTCTTTCCCTGCTTTACATTCATTGTTTGTCATGCACAATAATATGCCATCACATTCACGTACAATTTATTTAGCCATTTCCCAAATGATCCACCTTAGTTTCTAATCATTTGCTACCACAAAAATCTTCTGCAGAGATATTCTTACATATACTTGGACTATATGCCCTGTAATGGTATCCATAGGTCAAAGCATATGAACATTTTATTTGCTTTCTTAGCATAATTTCAAACTACTTCATAGACTGGCTGGACCAATTCCAAGCCCTACCAAGAGTGGATTAATGTGGCCTGTCTTCAGTGCCTCCACCACAGACTATTCCCATCTTTTGGTCATCTGCCAATTTGCTAGATGTGAGGTAAAACCTCATAATTGTTTTGTCTTGCATTTCTATTATTATTAATCATTTGATTCTATTATTATATTAATGATCTTTCATATAGTTTACTTTCATAATTTCTTCATCTGACACTTATAAATATAAGCAACATTCCATACAGAACACTGTCCTGGACAGCGAGTCAGAAGACCTGGGTTCTTGTCCTGGCCATGCTAATTAATTAGTAGGCCTGTGGAGTGGGTGATAACCTCACTGAGCTTCACTTTCCTGTAAAATCATGATAATAACTGCTAACATGTTTGCTTCACAAGGCTTGTTTTGAAGATCAAATGCAAAAATGCATGTAAAAGTATTCAGAAAGGTGTAAAAGGTATAATAAAATGTAACAAACTGTTGTTTATTGTTCTTATTCTTATCCAGTACACTCTCCCTCTCACCTTAAATATATTCCATTCTAGTACACACAAATTCATCATTCCAATTAAATTAACCTTATTCATCTCTGGCATATAAATCACATTCTCATTGCTGGTGGCATGTGGTACAGTTCTAACAATAATTACTCAGAAAAAAATCTGGGGACACACAGTTTTCATTAACAACTGAAATGCAGCCTCTCCTTATTTTTATGGATCTGTGAATTATGAAACTTGATGGAAAAACAGATATTCATAATATTTTCCCTTTCTTTATCAGTCATGTGCAGGGTATCCAAGCAGGCAGTTTTGGTAAGGAGAAGAGAAAATATTGGGTAGCTTCCCTCTACTTCTCCTCGCTCCAATCTATCGGACAAAATATTTCTTTCCTCCTGTATTAAGTTAGAATCGAGATAGGAAATTCTTATCAGTGGACAAAGTGTAGAGGAATGGACCATTCTCATCCATCATTATGACAGGGCCACAGTGATGGTTCCATCCTTCAGGAAGGCTGCAGTTTTTGTTCTTCCATCTCCTACCTTTCTTCATCTCTTCTTTCCTCCTCCATGCAGAGCTTCCAAAGGGGAGAGATTTCCTTTTTACAAACGTTATCTCCTTCTGTGCCTGAGCCTGCACCTGCGCCCATCCTTTTCAATCTCAAGACAGTCCTGCTTAGACTCATGTTCTCATGATCTAACCTTCTAAATATCCCTTCCCTCTGTTTTAAATGTGTTCTCATCTTACCTACACAGGAACTCTTCCCTCCAAACAAGCTAAGCTCCTGGGTATCTGCACTGCTCATTCCAGTTTCTGTCTTTACACATTTCCTTTACCCCAAATGCCCTATTCTTTTGTCAACCCTTCAAAATCTACAACGTACTTTCTCTAGGAAACATGACTGATCCAATCAATCTTTGTTCATTCCTCTTTAAGAGATTTCATCAGCATATATGTATACAAACTGTACTACTGATGTGTGGCCTTTAAAAGTATTTTTCATTTATGTCATAAACAGTATATGTACTCTATCTCCCCAGACATTTGTTCAGGGTAGAGACTGTTCTACGCATTTTCTGATCTCCCTCCCATACCCATGCCACCTTACATAGTGCCCTGTCCCATCCAGCCTAGGTAGTTTGGTAAGTTATATTGACTTGAGTTTCACTTCCAAATCTTTTAAGTAAGAAGTCTGCTGTGGTGGAAAGAACATTGGGATTTGCAATTAGAAAACCTAAGTATGAGTCTTAGCTCTGCCACTTGGGGCACCACTGGACTAATAAATGTCCCTTTATCAGTTTCTTCATCTTTAAAATGTGTCTGTGTGGGGGGTGGGAGGAAATAGGTAGCACAAGTTGGACTAGAAGACTTCGAAGGTGTCTTCTGGCTCTATAGCTGTGAACTTTTGGCCTCTCAAGGCCTCTGCTTTCACATCTGTACAATGAAGGGACTAGATGACATGATCTCTAAGGTCATTTCTGGTTCTAACACCTATGATCTTAGTGATTCTGCCCTTGATTAAGTCCTAATTAACCTAGACATTTCAGCTTCAATATCTTTAAAATAGGATGACAATCTACCCTATTAACCATAAAAGGTTATTGTAAAGAATGAAATATATATAGATATATTTTACAATATTAATGATTAAGTATTGGTCATAGAATTATACATTTTATATATTATAAAATAATTTTATATATTATACATTTGTGCATTATACAATTATATATAATGTATTAATTATATATGTATGTATATATACATAAAAAACATATATATGTAAGTGCTTTGAAAAACAAAAAGTGCTGCATTATTGTTCCATAATTTTGTAATTAAAGTGTAAGAATGGCTGATGATAATAATGGCTCTAAAATTAAAGTTAAAAAAAAAAGATGAAAATAACCAAATTTAGTAAATGTCAGCAAAGGCAGATGCACTTCAAAGCCAAGACCATCTATGAGACCTTATTTGTACTCACCCTTCACCAACTTGTTTCACAGTATTTAATTCTACTACGTTGTACATCATAGATGGCTCCAAAGAAACCTTCTCCATAAACATAGGTGAGGTTGTAATGTTTTGAATTTGGGCTTCAAGAAATACTTCATCTGTCTAAAGGAATGGGAAAACAGCCACCAAAGTACAATGGTATTTTAAATATTTAAAACAACTGCAGTATCTTAATTATTTGAAGAAAAAAATTAACCACAAATGTGATTAGTTCATGCCTGCAAATCAAAGTTACTGTAATTAATGCAAGAAAAGAAATCTTCATCCCAATATAATTATCAGGAGCAAAAGTGTTAGTCAACTGATACCTTGTTAAACAATGGATAGGGGAATAGCAGTAATGTTTTACACTTGAAATTCTAAAATAAATCAGAATTTCACTATGACAGCCTAATCTCTCAGTAAGTTAAGAATTCAGGATTTGTGAGTTAGTCAGAGATATACTTCTGAATATATCCTTAAAATCTTAATTTCTTTGAAGTGGTAAATACTATAGTGAAAAATAATAGAATCTTTATTATAGGTACATCATATTATTCATTTCCAGGTGTCATGGTGACTTAGGGGAGTAATCACTAGTGCTATACTTAGTCTATATAAATAAATAATCTTACTGTGACTGTGCAGTACACTTAAAGCTCCTTCAGTGTTGAGACTAAAATAGCTTATTTGATTAATCAGGCACTGCTTGTCAAAGTGAGAGTCTTAACATTCTATGAGTGTTCAGTCTACTAATTTCTAAGGTTACTTTCTAATAATATATGTGTGTAGTTAGCATTGTGAAATGTGAAAAGAGCCAGAAATGGGAACTATATTTTTTGGGGGTGGGGGAGAAGAGGAGAGGAAACCAAGAATAAGTAATTTAGCTGTGCTGACAGGTTTGAAGACTGGCTGATGATAGGAAGTACAGATTATCTGTACTTACGCATCTATATGTTATACAGCTCTTCTGTTCCATAATTAGTCATGCAAAAAACTATTTGTTTATGTATTATCTATTCAGTTTTGTTTCTTTTTGGCATTTACATAAAAACTTAGCATTAAGCAAAGTTTAAAAATCATGCTATAGGCAGATTTGGCACTTATGGCATTTGTCATATAAAAGGCAACACAGACTCAAATCATCTTGGAAAAATATAACTACAGAGCTACAATCTAATTACTAAAATTTATAAATATTTACTAAGAACACAGATTCTGTAGTACATTGCTATTTTTTTCCCAAAAGAGAACAGCAATGTACCTTGGTAATTTTAAATGACATAGTATTTCATGGTTCCATTCTATTAGCACTTCCCCAAAAGGTAGGTAAGTATCATATCCCATCAATCCATTGCTTTAAAAATCACCATGGACCCAAACTTCAAGTTATTTTTAAAGGCATAAACTGTCAGCATAAAGAAAAGCTAGGTAGGAGAAGAAAAGAAAAATAAGCAGCACAATGGAAAACCAAATTAGTTTGAAAAAGAAACATAAAACAATTTAAAATGAAAAAAAAAAAAACAAACCCAAAACTAAGGCCATATTTAATGCTAAGCCAATTGATGTTGGTATTAAATACAGAAAGATACAGAGGATATACAAACTGTTCAGCATATATATGTAAAAATGCTGCAAATTTTAAAAAGCTAATTAGAAAATATATTCTTGTATCTATTACTGTTAAAAGATCCAATTTTATCTACTCTGTTTTAAACTTAAATAATTATTGCATTCAAACAGATCACTACTCTCTACCTTGTCCACCTAGTTAAGGTGGAAGGTTTAGATCAAGGCAACTGAAATTTCATGATTAAAAAAAGACTAATATGCTTTTTAAAAATGAAGGCTAAATGTGAAACAATGGTTTAGGGTGTAATTGTTTTAATATGATAATTTAACATCTGAGGTGATATGTCTCATCTAACCTACAAGAAGACCAGTATAATTTGAAAAAAAAAATTTCCCAGTTAAATGAATAGATCATAAGCAATATTCACAACCAACTTTGTTTTTCCACTATGCTTTATAGATAGATGTTAACAGGCAGAGAGTCAATTAGTAGACAGGAAGAAAAGCATACAAATTTGTAATAAATTAAATAAAATTACCACAGAACTGAGGTCACTCTAATGGAAAAATAAAAAAAGAAACATTAGAAAAATTAGAGTTAAATGTTAAAGAAAAAGGACAACTAACTTTCAAATAAAATGCATTATTGCATTTTTGAGATACTTTCTAAACAAGACAGCATTAGTAAACAAGAGTGTAAACAGAAAAAGACACAAAGAAATATGACAATCATCCTTCTGAAAAGGTACAGCTCAGTAAAATTAAATGCCAATGGTATGACAGGGGCACTTCTATGGGAAGAGCTGTGGGATCAGATCCCATTACTTTATACTTTAGTAAGTTTTACTGACTTGAATGGGGGATGGGCAGGAGGGGAATCACATGGGTATTAAGGAACAAGACTTTGGTAAAATGTTTCTCCCTCAGATTTAATAAGAGACTGCTAAAACTGACACAATCTAATTCAATGAAAAAGAACTAACAGAACAACTTGAATTTATATTGAATACTTTGGGAAGAATTCAAAGGCCTTTGGAGATAGCACCTCATTTGTTACCTTCTAGAATTATAGAGTCTTTAGCACCAGGACAGATCTTAACTAGGAATTTATCTGATTACTTTTCATCTCAGATAGATGACATCTATTTGATTTTTAAAGACCTTCCTTGATTTCAGAACCTCTCTTAATTCAAAGACTTTTCCTTCCATATCTACATATCATCAAGATATCCCAGCTTAAGCTCACTTGTGCTTTCTCTGCCCTCAGCAGAGATAGAGGTTGCTATTTTGTGCAGGACTGTTCCTGAGACTTCTTTTCCTGCTGTTTATTCACAGAGGTTAATATAATATATATATATAATTATTGGGGGAAAAACTCTCTAGACCATGCTTTAGGCAAACATAAGGATAATGAGGTGTCCTGGGGCCAAGATTTCAGCATAGGAGAAGCAAGTTACTGGGCTGGGGGTAGGGGAGACATGGGAGAAAAGCACATGCTACACAACACTGGCAGGAACATGACAGTTCTCATGACACCAATATTAATGTCATTTCATGTCTATTCTCATTCTTAGTCAATGTCAGCTATGGAATAGATATCATTGACTGGGCTTTGGATACCTAAAAGTCAAAACTGAATGCCAGGAAAATGATTAATGGACCCATGAGTTGTTTGCTATCTGGTTTAAATGGTGCTCTCAAAAGAAATATGTATATTCAAGAATTTAAGGTTTTAAGAGGCATGGCATAATGAACAGTGACCTGGCCTCAGTGAGGAAGCCTTAGGCTCAAGGTGTACCTGTGACACACAGGGCTACATTTCCCATGACAATGGTCATTGGATACTTCGGTGTCCTAGGCAACTCTCTAAGTCTTTAAGTTACAGGGCAGGGGTCAATCTATACTGTTTTAGAGAGTTTTCCCATTGGGAGGGCCCTACTCTAATGAAACCTCAGGTCTGGTTAAAAAAAATTTTTTTTATTACAAAATTTTAAAATTAATACTTGTCAGGAAACTCTAGATTTAGAATTATGTGTATAAACATTTTCTAAATGTATTCTGTTCATAGGATTATAAGGTTAGAGCTGAAAGTATTTTAGGGATCACCTAGTCCGAGTTCTTCATTTCATAGATGAGGAAAAAGAAGCTTGGAGGGTTATGGGATGTACCTAAGGTGCTGGAAAGAAATTAAGCACCAGAGCTGGGATTCAAACTATTTTAAACTCTTAAGAAGAAGCTTAGTGATTTATCACTTTTAACAATGTAAACTAAACCCAGTACTATATATGCCATCACCTCAAAACATTCTTAGAGCCAAATAATTGTATTCACAAAAAAATGCAAAAGTGTACACCATAAAAAAGGCTTTCCTTACTCATCTATAAAATGAGGGAGCTGCATTAAATGCCAGGAAGTTCCTTTCAGCCCTGAACTTATGATTCTATGATATGATCCTTACAATTCTATAACAAATCTAGTCTTTTAAGACATTTTCACTTCTTGCTAACTGCGTATGAATTTTCTACCAGGAGAGTAGAGGAGAGAGAAATGGGAGAGAACAGAGAGGGGAAGAGAGAGGGGCCTGGGGAGGAGGGGAAGAGAGAGGGGCCTGGGGAGGAAGGGAAGAGAGAGAGAGGAAAAGGGAGAGAGGGGGTGGGGAAGGGGGGAGTGAGGGACAGAGAGGGGGAGAGAGGGGAAGAGAGGTGGTGAGAGGGAGAGAGAGATTTTGAATATTTTAAATTTAATCAGGTTGGTTATAAGATATGATTATTTCATGGCATGTGATTGATAATAAGAATGCTGGGGCCAAGATTTAGCAAAAAGAAATAACAATTAAACAACATCAATAGTATTCCAAACCTTTCCCCCTATTCCTGAACTCTGCATTCTAGCTAAACTGGTCTATTCACTGTTCCCTGAACATACAAGATGCATTATCACCTTCTTGTTCTTCCTCATACCATTCTCCTTGTTTGAAATGGTCTCCTCCCTCTTCTCATCTATGGCCTCTGCTTCTTATAAGGCCCAAACAAAATTTCATTTTTTCCATAGTTGGATTCCATGATTCCAATGATTGAGCCAGTCCTTTCCAATTCCTATAGGCTTTATTATCTTTATTATCTCTTGGTACAAATATCTTTTTGGTTTTTTAATAAATAAGTCTTGTTAACTAAATTTGAAATCGTCCCTATGGTCATAAGTCCCAAGTTTTCCAGAATAGTTCTTGATTTTATGAAAAGAAAGCATACTTTTAAGAGGCTTTGTAAAACACATATTTTGTCAAACTACTTGTTCTGATTTTCAGTTCACAAAATATGGTCACCATATTGTTTTATCCCCAGTGCCATGCTGTATTCAAGAAATACTTGTTGACAATATTAAAAAAAATTAGTTTGAAAAGTCATCACAATTTTTTTTGTCAGGTTTTGGAATACTAGATGGATATTTTGAAATTCAAAATGTAAGAGTTCTTTAAGGTAGTCACTACAATATTATACTCATCATGTTAAGATTTCTTTCACTGTTAACTGGAAGTTCTTGAGATCGAGAGGCCAAAGGGTATAGCAGGACAAATAATAAAACTGAGACTGAATTAATGGAGTCCAATGAGTGAACACAGGTAACCCTCTCTAGATTCTACTGGCCTCCACTTTGGCCAATTTTAGTTTTCCACAGGTCATTTATCCTAAAAGCAGCTCTCTTTTCCACTTGACTAATCTTAAATTTTCCAGGAAACCTTTGAAACAGTTATCAAGAACAATAGGCTTAACTTAAACCTAACAGCCCTTCAACTTTCTAGTTCAAACTCTCTCACTGATCTTTGTGCTCTGTGGCCAGTTTAATATGGGAAGTTAATAGAAGTCAATGTGGTAAGGTTATGTCTTAGTTCTTTTTTATAGCCTTCAGAACACTAAAGTGTTTGCTAGGTTCTTATTAACAACAGTTAGTAGATATTAATCCTATTTTGAATAACAATGACTAAGGAGAATTATAGGACAGGCATTTCATGAAAAAGAAATGAAACAACATTCAAAATGAAGGTTGCACAAATTCTATTGCAGAGAGTCCTTCAACAATGAGGTTAAAAAATGAGGGGAATAGTTGATTAGATGAGGCTTAACATCTAATTAATTTTACCTACTGATTAAACTGTTAACTCATTTTTCAGAAGCATAGTCAGATTAGCAATTTTTTGGAGAAGTGAGGGAAAAAGAAACCTGTGATTTAAAAAAAAAAAACCAAGATCTTGATATTTAATTGGAAAAAATCTCATTAAATACCAAAAATCTAGGATAGAAATCCAATACTTACCTCTGCATTATAAAACTTGGTTTTCACATCCAAAGGTTTAAGAACCTGATTGAATAAAGCACATAAATTAGATAAAGATTTGTCTTTTTTTTTGTACTTCAAAGAATGCTGTTATAGTATAAAATTTAATTATGAATCTCTAAGTATAAAATGTTTTAAAAACTCTTTAAAATTTTAATAAAAAAGGCTCTCAGGATGCTTGAAAAGGAAAATTCCAAGTACATACTGTTAAAATGACATCATTTCACCTCTCTCTAGTGAAAAGGCATGTATATATTTTTCCATCAATCTGCTTTAGCAAAATAATGGCAAATATCTTTCCTAGCGAGCTAATTTTCCTCTTATGGTCAGGCTTCCAAAAACATTAGCGGAACTGAAAAATGTCTGCACTTTAAAATGGTTTTCTAGAAATTAAAGACAGAAAAATCATACAACATGTTAAACTCAACTTATTTGGCCTGGATCTTTTTTTTTTCAGAATGTCTGAATTTTAATTCTTTATTTTTAAAAAAAATTATTTATTTTTAGTTTTCAACATTCACTTCCACAAGATTTTGAACTGCAAATTTTCTCCCCATCTCTTCCCTCCCCCCATCCCAAGATGGCATGCATTCTGATTACCCCTTCCTCCAATATGCCCTCCCTTCTATCACTCCCCTATTCTCTTATCCCTTTTCCCTTCTATTTTCCTGTAGGGTAAGATAGAATTCTATACCCCCTTGCCTTGTATCTTATTTCCCAGTTGCATGTAAAAACAATTTTTAACAATCGTTTATAAAAAACTTTGAGTTCCAAATTCTCTCCCTTTCCTCCCTCCCCACCCACCCTCATTGAGAAGGCAAGCAATTCATTATAGGTATGTGGAGTCATGCAAAACACTTCCATAACAGTCATGTTATGAAAGATTAACTATATTTCCCTCCATCCTCATCCTGCCCCCCATTTATTCTATTCTCTCCTTTGACCCTGTCCCTCCTCACAAGTGTTTGCTTCTGATTACCCCCTCTCCCAATCTACCCTACCTTCTATCATCATCTCCTCTCCTGTAGGGTAAGACAGATTTCCATACCCAATTGAGTATGTATGTTATTCCCTCCTTAAGACAAATCCAATGAGAGTAAGGTTCACTCATTCCTTCTTATCTCCCCTCTCTTCCCCTCCACTGTAAAAAAAAATTTCTTGCCTCTCATGTGAGATAATTTACCCCATTCTACCTCTCTCTTTCTCCTTTTCCCAGTACATTCCTCTCTCAACCCTTAATTTTATTTTTTGGATATCATCCCTTCATATTCAACTTATCCTGTGTTTTCTGTCTATATATATTCCCTCTAACTACCCTAATAATGAGAAAGGTCTCGTAAGTTATAAATATCATCTTTCCATATAGGAATGTAAACTGTTCAACTTTAATAAGTCCTTTAAGATTTCTCTTTCCTGTTTACCTTTTCATACGTGAGTCTTGTACTTGAAAGTCAATTTTTCTATTTAGCTCTGGCTTCTCAAGAATTCATTAAATTCCTCTACATCACTGAATGTCAATTTTTTCCCCTCATTAATTACACTCAGTTTTGCTGGGTAGGTGATTCTTGGTTTTAATCCTAGCTCCTTTGATCTCCGGAATATCATATTCCAAGTCCTCTGATCCCTTAATGTGGAAGCTTCTAAATCTAGTGTTATCCTGATTGTGTTTCCATAATACTTGAATTGTTTCTTTCTGGCTGCTTGCAATATTTTCTTCTTGACCTGGGAACTCTGGAATTTGGTTATAATATTCCTGGGGGTTTTCCTTTTGTGATCTCTTTTTGGAGGTGATCAGTAGATTCTTTCAATTTCTATTTTGCCCTCTAGTTCTAGAATATCAGGGCAATTTTCCTTGATTGGATCATTCTTTTTGCTACAGTCTGTAGTATTTGTCATGAATACTCAATCAAGAACATTGCCTTTGGGCGAAAATTTTTGGAAGTTTCACTATAAAAATATTGCCCATGCTATTCTGTTTTTATTCAGCTTAATTTAATCCTATTCCCTTTTCAGCTCTAAATAGGCCTGAAAGCTATTCACTTTGTTTTGAATGTGTCTGTATTTAAAGCAGAACAGTATGAAATAGGTCTACAGTATGAAATAAGTAAGCAACTGCATCTTATGGCTATATAGCTTCTCTTAATTAAAGGCAATACCTGAAATTTGAAGAATTTCCTAAAGTACATCTTTTCTCCACTCTGAGTCGTGTAGCTAACTGCACACACCAAGCTGAAATAGACAGATAATTGCTTTAATAATTCTGAACCAGTTTCAACTGTGTGGTTCTCAATATTACCTCTAAAACATAGAGAATAGATGCAACACTTCTATCCTAACCATGGTTTGTGATATTCATTTTAAAATCTCCAACACTCCTGGCCTACAGGAGCCAAAATCAAAGAATGAAAGTAGCTTAGATGCTAGTCAATTTCTTCGTTTTATAGGTAAGAAAAAAGGCTTAGATAGGTGAGTGACTTGCCCAAGGTAATACAGCAAAGATCTCATACTTCAGCAATCAGGATTTTATTTCACATGATAATTTTTTGTTCAGTAAGATGAGATGCTGTTCTTCATACACCATCCCCTAAACCCCTCTTCCAACCCCTTACTTTTTAGACTAAGACATCAGTGTGGCATTTAAAAAGTTAGGTACAAAAGAACTCGGAAAATAGTTGTAACTCCCATGCTTTAGTTAAGAATTAAAACATTAAAAAGAAATTTGACAATGTGTAGTCAAATTTCTAACTTAACCTAAAGGGCTAGAATTTTTAAGAAGAAGACTAACAATAATAATTAGTTAGACTTCTGCCTCAGAGCAAAGAGAAATGTTTATTTACACACATAAACACAAAAGAGGCAAAGGTTATAGGGCAAAGTGGCTTTTGGAGTTTGCCTCTGTTTGATTTCACACTTGTGTTTAGATGTTTTATGTGTTTGGATCAGACATTAATATATGTCTATTTCAAGGTAACAGTGTGCATAGTGGTAATTAACATTTTACAAAGCTTTCAAAAGATCTGTATTAAGTCTTTTCATACACCTCTGCTTCAAACTGGTATTACCTCTATGAAGAATTGAACATAACAGTGAATTAATTCCAAAGCTAATAGGGTATATGGAGATTAGCACAGTAGTAGGGAACCTGCAGCTTCAAGGCCACATATGGCCCTCTAGGTCCTCAAGTGCAGCCCTTTGATTGAATCCAAACTTCACAGAACAAATCCCCTTAATGAAAGCATTTGCTCTGTAAAACTTGCACTCAGTCAAAAGGCCCCACCCAAGGACCTAGAGGGCCACATATGGCCTCAGGGCTGCAGGCTCCCCACTCTTGGATTAGTATCTCAAAAATGTGCAGAAGGTTTTTGCTTCTTCTATAAGTGCTATTAGAGAGAAAGTAGTAGGGTGCTCAGGGTCCTTAGGGAAGGTAGTTTTGGCTATAGCTTATGAAGCTTCTACTGTACAATTTCTTAGCATTCCTGAAGAAGTGTTAATGATTAAAATTTTAAAATGTTGGTTATAAGCCTATAGGCTTCATCAGGGCATGAAATGTCTGATTCTTATTTGCATCCCTCACAAGATCATGCTTGCTCAAAACAGGTATTTTTCTGTCTTCCTACCTTGTTACAATTCAGATTATCTCTTCAGGCAGTTTTTAGCTAGATTTGCAAGTGATTACAAAAATGCAGGTAGAGATGTAACTCTTATCACATAAAAAGAAAGCACTTTATAGGCATATAAGGTAACAAGCTTTATAAAAAAGTATTTCAGACAATGATACACACACACACACACACACACACACACACACACGTGTATGTAGATAGATAATGATTGTGTTTAAATGTTCCTTACATATGTGTCCCAATTTCTTTCACTTCATGGTGGATGACATCATCAATACAACAATCAGATTTAAGTTCTGCAACTGTAGCATTGGAAGCTGACAGATTTAAACGTTGAGAACTTGTCTGGAGATCAGCCTTGAAAGAGGAAGAAAAACCTTAGAAGACAGTGTGCAACTTTACGAGAATTTCAACTTCTAAAAATGATTCAGAACAGACATTTTAAATAGGACAGTGCTTGTAAACATATAAAGTCAAAGCCAAAATAGCAAGGCCTAGATTTCTTCATTATGGCCTAGATTTCTCAATTATTATTATTTTTTATTTTTAGGCAACTGGAGTTAAGTGACTTGCCCAGGGTCACACAGCTAGTAAGTGAGGCTAAATTTGAACTCAGGTCCTCCTGACTCCAGGGCTGGTGCTCTATCCACTGTGCCACCTTGCTGCCCCTGATTCTCAATTATTTTAGAGAAAAATTCTTTATATGTAAACACACCCACATTGCTTATACTCAAAGTTAAAATAACAGACAAATACTTATTTATTTATTTCTTGGCATTATGGTATAGGACAGAGTCAAGTAACATAGACGATGATCCCTGGCCTTGAAGAGTTAACCATCTAGTGCAAGAGGCTAAGGCTTGAACATATAAAAAACTGAACGAAAGATGTAAATATTAGATGAAGAGAGGAATCCAAGAGAGGTCTCAGGTCAGTAATTACCAAATGAATCAGAGGCCAAAGTGCCTAACAATTTCAGAAAAGAGAGAAAGGGGAAATTCTGGCAAAGGTGGTGAGGGAAAGCTTTTGAGTTTTCTTTTGAAGGCTGAGTAGGATGTGGATGAGTGGAAGGAGGTGGACAGAACAACAACCAAAACTAAAGGAAGGGACATAGTATGTTTTGGGGGATGGGGGAGTCAGCTGGGTTGAAGTAGAGGTATTATATTATGGAGAAAAGGAAAAAAAAAGAAAGAAAAGGAAATGAGTGTGAAGCTGTAAACATAGTCTAACTATACTTTAAAGTAAACAAATCTGTATTGAAGGAAATCCTGATTTTATGTTCCTGATTTATTTATACTTGATTACTATTGTGTTCTTTGGACATAATGAGAATTTAAAAAAAATAATAACTGATATTTACATAGCACTCTTGGATCTGTATAATGCTGTACATATACATCTTATTTAATTTAAAATAAAGTGTTAGTTTTAAAAAATGAATTAAATGTTTTAGAAATGTAATGCTAAACATCAAAACCAACACTTATTAAGTCCTTGTTAGCATTCAAATTAATCAATTTCAACACAAAGTATCAACATGTTTTAAATTTCTCCCTCTCTAAGTCTCCATCAGAGTCCATTTATTCTCAATTGGTTTTACTCAATTAGTCTTAATTAGTATGGGTTCCTTTCTTCTGGGTCTGCTTTTTTTTTGCTCTGAATTAGTTCATAAAAATCTTTCCATTTTTTTTTTTCAGTTTTCATTACTTAGTCTTAATTGCATTACAATATTTTACTACATTTATGTAGTGCCATTTAACTATTCCCCTATTGTTGGGTACTTTAGGTTGTGACTGGTAAAATTTTTTCTCAAAATTTCATATAATGCTGCTGTGAAAATTTTTGAACAGATAGCTCTTTTGTTTTTGATAATACTGTCACGTTATACTCCCAATAACCAAATTACTTGGTCAAAGGATTTTTTTTGGGTGGGGGTAAGGGATAATTTTTACAGAATAATGCTAGATTGCCTTATCAACTATGAAATGTAAGTTATCATTGTGACTTTTTTAAAACAGATTTGTATATATTTTAATTGTCCAGTTTTTACTGTTATATTTGGTGCAAATAATAGCAAGCAATCTATCTTGCCCCTACTAATTTCCTTCAAGTATTAAATTCAAAGAAGTTCATTTGTCCTCCACAAATGAGACACTTTATTCCATTTTCTTCCATATTTTCCATAGTTTTTAAAGGTTTAATTCTTTTTTTTTTAAGGCAATTGGAGTTAAGTGACTTGCCCAGGGTCACACACCTAGTAAGTGTCAAGTGTTTGGTCTGAGGACGGATTTGAAGTCAGGTACTCATGATTTCAGAGCCGGTGCTCTATCCACTGCACCACCTAACTGCCCCCAATTCTTTTATCCAGCTGGAATTTACCACGGTAGATGATATAAGATGTGGATTCAAATCCAACCAACTTTTCAAGTTAAATAATCAATCCTCCCCCCAGTTATTTTCTTTCTTTTTTTTTTGCCTTTTTGGTGAGGCAGTCAGGGTTAAGTGACTTGCCCAGGGTCACACAGCTAGTAAGTCTGAGGCTGGATTTGAACTCCTGACTCCAAGGCTTAGAGCTTATCCACTGCGCCACCTAGTTGTACCCAGTTATCATTTTCTAAGGGTTTATGAAACTCTCATACTTGTATACATTTGGTTGGATATCTTTATTTTTTCTGTACTATGAGATGGTAGATATTAAACCACTTTTAAAGAATATATTTTAGGTCTGGGAGTCTATTACCTCACTCCTGAAATAGTACAATTATTTCCTTGCTGGCCCCTTCAGTCTCCAAACAAAACTGCTTGACAAAATGACTTTTCTTAAAACATTACTTTGGACACATTACCCTCTTTGCCAGTAGCTTTCGGTTCTCCAGTGCCTATAGGGTGAAGTCCTGATATATCCTGTCTCTTAAGGTGTTGTCATATCTGTGCACCTCAAGAAAACAAATGGCTTGTCTTGCATCTAATATTTTTTATATGTATATAATTTATTAATTTTAAAATAATTAAAATACAATTAACATCATAACATTATGAACATCATTTAGTCTTTCTATGAGGATTCTGAAGCCACTTCATGATCTTTCAGGGCCTTAAAGGCATCATAATGAATATTAATTTTCATTGTATATATGAATTGGGAAAATTTTATTAAATGGTATCCACGATGAAAACAAGCATCTCTCTTTGTCTCTCTCTCTTTTCCAGTTGATCTATCATTAACCTATAAACCAACCTAACCAACCATCTGCCTTGCCCCTCTTCTTCCTCTCACTTTGTTAGCAAATTAAAGAAGGGACAGGCAAGGCAAAAGATCCTTTCCTAGAATTTTAAAGGTTCCTCCTGTTTTGCCTCCAGGTCTTATACCAACAAGCATGTCCAAAGGATCTCCTTCTTGATTTTTCAAGGTAATGACCACTTCTTCTTACTAAAAGGAATTTATCATCTATGACCTTTCTCCCTCCTTCCCTCTCCCAAACACACAAACTGATTCTCCTTTGTGACTTTCTGATTTCTGTTAAGAAGAAGTTATCTTGGGGGAAAAGAAAAGTTTCAACTTAACAAATTTCAAACTCAGTCATACCCAAGCTGTTCTTTCCTAGATTCTCCAATATGCTATACCCCATAACTGCTTCGGTGGCAGCCTGCTCACTTCCCTCTCCTCCAATTGTAGCCATAAACCCTTTGCATCTAATATTTCTAAGGGCTACTGAGATATGGTTAGAAGCACTGCCTACACAGATCATGGTGCAGAGCACGCTCCTTAGAGCCCTACCCAGTGCTAAGTATTTATACCAGTCCATTGTTAATATACCACGGGTTATTTCAGAACTCTGGGTGCCTTAAATGTGAATAGATCATTACAAAAACTATACCCTATCCCTAACCTTCTACCGAGGTACTTGGCAGCAAGTACTTGCCATTAAGGATTGTTTCGTTCACTGTATTTGTATCTTTGGTGTTTAGCATAGTATCTGGCAACTAAATTGGTTAAATTTTGTGTCCTGCTCTTAGGTTGGGGCAGCAGATGCTAACCTATAGAAGGCATGTCATATCTGGTGTAGGATACCTACAAATTGTAGAATGAACATTAGAGTGGACATCGGCAGACTTAGGTTGAGACCTAGCTCTGCTAGCTGTGTGACCTTGGATGAGTCACAATGAGGATTCTTTCTAGGCCTCAGTGTCTTCATCCGTAAAATGAAGGAATTGGGCTATTTGATCTCTATGGTTGCCTCTACCTCTAATTTTCTACAACCATCTTTATTTTCCTTCTGTGCATGTAGGAAGATGAGGTTCTTTGGTTGGTGTTTTTATTCTAAAAAGAAGGATTCAGGAATGGCTTGTGGTGGGCTGGAGATCTGGAATGAAAGATGGATTACAGATAATTCCTGTATGAGATACAACTTTCTGAGGCTCAATCCTCAGTCAAAAGAACAGGAAAGAGACCCAGGGAGGGGCGGGAGAACTCAAGACATCAAAGGGATTGCTGTAGCTTTCCTCCTACTTTTCTGGAACGTCCTCTTTCCTCTCATCTATATACCCAAGCCCAATCCTTTCTTTAAAGTCCAGTTTAAGTCCTACTTCCAAATACCTAAATTCCCAGAAATCTTACACATCATCTCGTCCAACCCCCTCACTTTTCAGAGAAAAAATTGAGGCCAGAGAGATTAAGCTACTTGCTAGGGTCACCTAGCTAGTTAGAGGCAGAGTTGGGGCTCAAACCCAGGTCTCCCAATCCCCAATTCAGCAAATCTTCTACTGTGGCACAGTGTCCTCTAGAAGCTTCCTCTACGAATCAATTTCTGACATTTTTTTTAGGACTGGTGTCATATTGAGATTTGTAAAGCATTCTTATAATATACAAAGGAAACAGGTGAAAAGACAGGAAAAATATACTTTTACTCCAAAACATTCAGAATAAAAATGTTACTTACCTTTACCAATATGTCCTTTACAATCTGGTTGCTGTCATTGTGAACACTGATATAACTGGAAAAGGTTTCTCCCAAAAATATGTTTCTGTCCAAAGGAAAATCATCATTTAGGAAGCAATCTGCTTCAGTCAATCTATAAGTACATCACGATGAGGAGTTGTGAAACCTTCACTGAGGGATGCTGGCCACAAACAACACTGCTCCTGCACTCATTTATGTCCCGGTGCCATTTAAAATATTGAGTTAATCTATGAAATATTACATAGTTTGGCCCTTTGCTGATATACAAAATTACTCTTATTCCTAGCCACAGTGGTAGTAACTGAAATCAGATCCCTGCCAGCTGTCCTGTGACTTATGTCTGCAAGGGTCAGAGAAATTTTAGTTTTCTGTTTTTGAAATGATTTTATGCCTCCACTAAACTACTGATCTTTGGGGCATTATATGCATTTTTACTTTTCTTTACTTAATTTGTGAGTAAATTTTTGTCCAGTAAAAATAAAACTGGCTTTGTTCTTTATAATCTTTTTTTTTTTGCTTGAATATAAATCCAGATCTTCCACTGATAATCTTATCCTGAGACTTCATCATCGTTTAAACTATGTCATCATACAATCAGTAAGCATCTATCAAGCACTTACCATGTGCCAGGCACAGTGCTAAGTGCTGGGGACAAAAACCCGGTTCCCGCTCCCCAGAAGCTTACATTTTAATGGTAGAGACAACACGTAAATAATTATGAACATACAAGATATCTACAGTGTAAATGGAAGCCAGTCTCAGAGGGAAAGAACTAGCAGCATGAGAGACCTATAAAGGCTTCCTTCAAAAAGGTGGGTGGGATATAAGCTGAGTCTTGAAGGAAGCCAGGGAAGACAGGATTTGGAGATGAAGAAGGGGAACATTCCAAACACAGGACTCAGTCAATGCAAATATCGCAGAGGTGGGAGATTGTGTCTTCCGTAAGGAACATGAAGCAGGCCAGTGTGGTTGAATCACAGAGTATGTAGAGAGAGATAAAGTCCAAGTCCCTGTTCATGAACTCTGAAATTCTCCTCTCCCTTTGCCTCTGCAACCTCAAATCCTGTTCTTTGTGCTCACCAGGACCTTCATGCCTTCAGTTCTTTCCCAGGCCATCTTCTCGGTGCTGGCTACCCTCTCTTCCCTTCCCCATCTTGACCTCTGAGTGAACCAGTTCAACTCTACACTGTCTTCTTCTCTCAAGTTCTTTACCCCCTCATCTTATCAAAGAGCTTGTCTTCCCAGGCTTCAGCCTTGGATTACTCTAGCCACTTCTGCCTTCATTCCTACTTAAGTGTTGCTAAACAAAGTCGAGGAAAGTCACGAAACTATGCTGACTGGATCCACAAATTTATGTCGCATAATCTCAACTGGGCCCTCCCTGCTGTGATGTAATCCTTCTACATCTCCCTAAACCACTCAACACAGACTTTCCAAACCTTTTCATCCCTCCTCAAAGCTCCCAATGCTCCCCCTTCCCCTCATCCTCTCAAATGAGAACCCTGCCTCATATTTCACTGAAAAAAATTGAGGCCATTTGCTAAGAGCTTTTCATCCACTCTCTTCATTTCACATCACTTAGGTGTCTTCAGCCTTGATCTCCTCCTTTACCCCTGTCTCACGTAAGGAGGGGCCCTTCTCCCTGCTTTGATCCCATTCCATTTCATTTTCTCCAGCAGATCACCCCCTCTATCAACCCAAGTGTCTCATTTCTCTTCAGTCTCTCTTTGTCTACTGGCTTTTTCCCTATTGCCTACAATCATGCCCACGTCTCTCCTATCCTCAGAAAGCTCTCACTTAGGCCATCCATTCCAGCTAGCTAGTAAATTATCTAACAACCAGCTCTCCAGGGGGAAAAACAAGCCATGACACACTTACTTTTAAGTTTAATCTATATTAACATTTTCTCCATCACTTTCTTAAGCCTAGACAATCAACAAAACAATAAATTAAGCTCTGATTACTGAAATGAAATAGTCCACTTGGTTTGAGCTGGCCCCACTACTCTTCTTCTCCCAAGTTAAATGACAAATATAAAGGTCTTTTCTCAATCTTCAGCCTTCCTGACCTCTCTGCAGCCTTTGACAGTCAATCGACCTTTTTTCCTTCATGCTCTCCTCACTCTAGGTTTTCATGATTACTCTCTCCTGGCTTTCCTCCTGCCTGCTTAACTGCTCCTCCTCAGTCTGCTTTGCTGGAGGTCACACCCATTAACTGTGGGGATCTGCCAAGGCTCTGTCTTCTCCCTCCAGACTACTTCAGTTTGGCGACCTCATCAGCTCCCATGGATTCAATGATCATCTCCATGCTGATGATTCTCAGATCCCTTCGCCAAGCTCTAACTTCTTTCTTGACCACAAATCTCCAACTGCCTATTGGACAGTATCATAGAGACCTTAAAGTAAACATGTCCAAAACTCAAGTCATCATCTTTCTGTTGGAGCCCTCCCCTCTTCCCAACTTCCCTACTACTTGCTGACACGGGTACCACCATCCTCAGTCAGCCAGCTTTACAACCTTGGTTTTATTTTCAATTCCTCACACTCTCTCACCCCCCAATCTGTTGCCAAATCTTACCTTCACAACACGTCTCCTATACGTCTCCCACTTCTCTCCTCTGATGGCCACTACTCTGGTATACGCCTTCATTACTTCCTACCTGCACTACTGAGAGAGACTTCTGGCTAGTCTCCTTCCTGTAAGTCCCTCCCCACTCCAGTCCATCTACGTGGTAGCAAACTGATCTTCCTAAAGCCCAAGTCTAACCATGTCACCTCCCTCGTCAGTCTGCTCTAGCAACTATTATCTTCATGATCAAAAATAACACCCTCTGTTTAGCTCTTAAAGTCCTTCAAATCCTGTCCTCTTCCTACCTTACTGTTTCCCCATCCCGCCCCCCCACCCTTTCCCATGCAGTCCAGAGATAGGGCCTCTTTGCTGTTCTTTGCATATGACATCGGAGATCCTGACTCTAGGCATTTTCACTGGCTGTCCCCATGCCTCCTCCTTTCTGCTTCCTGGCTTCAAGCCTTTGTAAAAATCCCACCCTCTGCAAGGAAGCCTTTCTTAGTCCTCCTTAATGTTGGTGTTTTCCCTGAGATTATCTCCATTTTTATATAGTTTTGTGCATGCTGCCTCTACTTCCAGAATGTGAGCTCCTTTAGAGCAGGGGCCACTCCTTTCTTTGTATCCTCAGTGCTTAGCGCAGCGCCTGGCAGACAGTAGGTGCTTAATAAATGCTAGTTGACACAACTTGTTGCTGAAGACTAGAAAGGTAGAAAAGAGCTAACTATACTGTAGAGGACTTTAAAAACTAAACACTGGACTTTACATTTGATCCTAGAAGCAAAAGGAAGTCATTGGAGTTTATTGAGAAGGCGGTGATATGGTCAGACCCGCACTTCAGGAGAATCATTTTAGCAGCTGAGTGGAGGATGGAATTGAGAAGGGAGGAATTAAGGGAATTAGGCAGGTTTGAAAACAAGTAGAAGGCTACTGAAATAGTCTAGATGAGACATGATGTGATATGACGAGGGCCTGGTCTGCAGTGATAGCTGTCTAAGTGGAGAGAAGGGACTGTATAGGAGAGAGATAGATATCTACCTACAGGTAGATATGACCAGATTTGACAAAATATGTGGGATGAATGTGAGTGAAGAGATGAAGATGACCCTGAGGTAGTCAGCCCTGGTGAGTGATGATGACTTTGACACTAACAGGAAAGTTAGGAAGAAGGGAAAGTTTTCAGGAAAAGATAATAAGCTGTTTTGGACATGCTGAGTTCAAGATGCCTATGTGGTATCTAGTTTGTGATGTTCAAAAGGCAATCAGTGATGATGTGGTGATGACTCTGGATTCTGGAAGGCTCTTTGAGCACAATAAATCTTTACCAGGTTCTACGAAGTAGGAAAAGCTCTGATATAGTCTCAGGGCCAGTCTAGCTAAGGGTGGCCCAGCCCATAAAGAGATGGATTTTGGAGGTCATGGTTATTCAAGAAGACTATTTACTAAATTATAGAGGGATTGTACTCTATCTCAGGGCAAGTACTATCTAAAACAAATGAAGTGACAAATTTTAAAAAAAATTATATTTCCATATATCCAGAAGTACTATCTCAGCATCACATTCTATAAATATAAACTAATGTTACAAAATATTTCCCAGACCAAAAGGATTTTTTAATGTGTTCTGACCTTCCCATAGCACTTGTCTCTATCCTTTCTTTGGTATATGCTACACACTACATTATAATGCTATTTATTTATTTTAATGTATAAATCCTGCCTATGAATATGAGTTCCTTTCGGACCAAAACCATGTTTAACTAGCTTAATAATAATTGCTTTTAGCTTTCACAGTGCCACAGGGCCTGAAGAGTAGAGTTTTCATGTGGTTAACTATCCTGGGTCCTAAATTACAGGTTGGTACTGTTGAATGCATACCAGTGACTCTTTGGGGTAGAAATCTGTTGACAAACAATTCAGTCCTAAAAGATGCTACATTAGTAGTACTTATTAGGGCAGGGAAGCAAGAATATTAGAACAGTTGGCAAAGCTCACAAACCAGGGATTTCTATATACTTTATCTGAAAATTTAATTCTTACCCAAAGTTCTGAGGCAAGGTCAACATTTCTCCAAGCATCAAAGTTTCTGCACCATTTACAGTAGAAGGATCATCTTTCATGAGCTGATTAAAGAGATCTCCTGCAGCAATATAAAACACATTTCTAACACCTGCTGTATGTACAAATTTAATTCAAAGATGTGACTAAGGCACAGTTATCTCTGATAGGAAATTTATAAATGTGTTTTTCATACCTTTAAACTTCACTCATAAGAGAGAGACTTGAATACTGTATAAGAGAAATTGCTCTCCATATGTGACAACAGATAAGTCATGTACATTTTAGGCCTCGATTTCCTTATCTACAAAATAAGGGGTTTAGCCTAGCTCATATCTAAAGGATTCACTTGTGATATGCTATTATTCAAACTGAAAAATATGACACTTTTCTGCTGAAAATATGATATAATCACATACAGATTTAAGATTCATGTTAATATGCTACCACTATCCTGAGCACTATTTATGAGCATGATATCTATCAGTCCATTCCCTGTTTTGGTACTAACATTCATATACAACTACAGACTTTTAGAAAGCTGGCATTTAAAAAACAAGTTTGGTTACAAATGTATTCTGTACTAATTGTCCTGAATTTGTCAAAATGGACTGGAAGCAAAGATTATTATAGGATTAGAGGAAATTAAATGATAATTTCCTCCTGCAATCTATATTTACAACATTCTAATGTCTAATCTTTGATACCATCAATATACACTTTTTTTAAGCTCTGTACTTGGAGGCTAGATATTTTTCTAAATTAAGGCATTTCTAATGCACATTATATATTTATGATATCGTATAGTAAACCTAATAGTGTCCCGCCCCCCCCCAAAAAGGAAAGCTGTAGTCTACATTTCTGAAAAGCCTTTAATTTGGAATACTTGAGGAGAAAGAGTCTTATTATTTAACCATTACAAAATGTGCATACATATACACTTAAACTAAAATTCAAGTCACTACCAGGTCAGCATTAGGAACTGTTGATGATGAGGCAGCAGCTGAGGTATCTAGGCAATTAACACAGAATCTGGGTTTGTAATATTTCAGCGAGGATTCAAGCACAAAAACCATAGTAACATGCATAAATATCCTGTGGCATACCTGGTAAGTCTCTATCTTCACATGTTACTGGAATATTGGTGAATAAAGTAGGCTTGGTCAATCTCATCACTGTAAATTTAGAAAGCCAAAAAAAAAAAGAAAAGAAAAAGCAAAAGAAAGAGAAAAAAGAAAAATTGACAATGTCATTAACAACTTGGGTTAATATTTCCAAGTAATGTGATTGACGTTTAACCTCAGACCTAATCTAGTGAAAACTTCTTAATGAATGGCAAACTCTTGGATGAAAGTAACAAGCCAAAGATATTTCAGCAGAGTAGAATAATGGACTGGATCTATTAAGATGAAATTAAAAGATTTTATATCCATATACATATATACAATAAATGTAAGTTACTTAAACTTTGAAAAAAATTAACTGTGTAAATTAAGGGGAGGTGTGGTTAGATGACAATATTTGTGAAAAATATTTATGAATGGGATGCAAGTAGAGTGAGGCAACACTGTACTAAGGCACTCAAAAAGTTGAACACAATCTTAAGAGTTAATAGAAGTATAGCATACAAAACCATGGATATGACAATGATGGTTCTGCTGTACAGACCACATCTACGGTCCTATGTTCAATTCTGGTTGATACCATTTTAGGTAAGAAATTGACACACTGGAGAATGTCTGGAGGGAGGAGGCCAGCATGGCAAGAGGCTAGAAAACTATCCCACTTGAGGACAGTTTGAAGGAAATAGAAGTATTTACCTTGGATAAAAGAAGATATTAAGATTTATTTTCGAGAATTTGAAGGACATGTGGAATACATTCTCTTCTTGGTCCCGTAAGACAGAGGTAGGAACAGTAAATTGAAGATAAAGAGGCTGATTTAAGCTCAGTTTAAGGAAAAAAATACCTAACGATTAGAACTGTCCAAAAGCACAATGAGTTGCCTCAATAAGGAATAAGGTCCCCATCTATAGAGGTATGCATACAGGAGTCAGGGATGTTGAAGAGACAACTCCTCTTCAGAGACAGGTTAGACTAAATAACCTCTTAGGTACTCCTCTAAGTGAGGGATTTTGTGATGCCATTTGTGGATCTGTCCATATCCTTATGGCAGAACAATAATATGCTGAAGGCAGAATATTATAGTAGAAAGAATGCCCAACTCAGAATGCCCTCCTAGAACCTCAGTTTCCTCATCAGAAAAATGGGGTCATTTTAGGAAGCTATTGTGTAAAGATAAAGTATTTTATAAACCTTAAAGCCCATAAATGACAGCTATTATTCTTAAAACTTGACTAAAATGTTTAGTAAAAAGCAGTTCTTAGTCCTATTCCCTAAAAATAGATCACACTGTATTAGGAATCTATTTACTCACATATTCCCTTATGCCTGAAGTAGTCTCCCTTAACTTTTTTTTTTTTTTTTACTTTTTTGGTTTGGCAACTGGGATTAAGTGACTTGCCCAGGGTCACACAGCTAGTAAGTGTCAAGTTCTGAGGCCACATTTGAACTCAGATCTTCCTGACTCCAAGGCTGGAGCTGTATCTATTGCCCCTCTGAGCTGTTCCTCCCCCTTGGCTTTTAAAAGATCTCCCTCAAATCCTAAATAATGCAGGGAAATCTGTCTATATCAAAGGAGGAGAAAAAGACACATCGCCACTGGATGGCCACTTCAAAAAGCCAGATTAAAAAGCTTAGAAAAAATCTTCAGAAAAATCAGAAATGTTAAAAATCTTAAATTTGTTTTTTCTCTAGTATTGATATATTGCCATAAGAATACTATTAAGTTCTTCAGTCATTTTATACTGTAGGTTACTAAAGGGCAGTAACTTTGTGATTATATATGTCCTAGTCTGCTAACAGTGGGGTCAATAAGATTAAACATAGACAAGTTCCATAGAGTACTGGGTTGGCACGATAACAATACTGCTTTTGCAAATCATATTGTGTGCTCCCCAACTATCTACCTGTATTTGAATATGAATTAGGTAAAAATCAGTATCAAGTGTATCCTTGAAAGCTTTTTTCTGGAAATTGTAGTGGGATTTACCAGATGAATAGGCTTATATAAAGTACTAGTCACCTTTATTTACTACCACCACCACCACCTACTGCCCTGAGTAACTGCTAACAGCACATACTTGTATGTGGTGAATTTCAGGTTGGGATCTTTCAAAGCCAGAGGCATAATCCAATTACTTTGATTTGGGGTAAAGGGAGGGTGTCACTTAGTTCCTCCCCTCCCCTCAAATAATAAAAACAAGCCGCAGGGATTGAAGCATAACTTTTAAACTTTATTTTTCTGTGTGTATTCATGTGTTTCTTTTTGCAACATGGCTAATATGGAAATATGTTTTGCATGACTTCACATATCATGTTGCTTGCCTTCTCAAGGGGTGGGAAAGAGACAGGTGGGAGAGAATTTGGAATTCAAAATTTAAAAAATTAAATGTTAAATTTTTTACACGGAATTGGGAAATAGTTAATGAAATAAAAAATAAAAAAACAAGCTGCAGGAAAAAAATCATCTTCTCTATAAAAATATTACGCAAGAATTTACATCTACTCATTTGCCTGTAGACTCAAACTATGACAGTGAATAGGATAATAGAATCATAGTATCAGATTAAGAGCAGATAGGGGTCTTAAAGGTCATCTAGTCTAAGTCTCTCAGTTTACAGTTAAGAAAACCAAGGCCAGAGAGGTTAAATACGCCTAAAGTCACACAGGCAATAAATAGCTGAGCCAAGATTTGAACTTCAGTTCCCTGACTTAAAATCTAGCATTCTTTCACCATGATGCTTCTCATATTGTTTATAAAAGTCCTGCAAGGCACAGATTTGAATTTCTTTCTAAACACCTGATTCTGCTGTTTAATGAGAAAGAAGATCATCAATTTGAAAACAGAATTTCTCATATAAAAGTGATAAAAACCAAAACCTATCTTTTTGAGGTAATATAGAGTTGACAATTGTACCTTTTCTTTATTTTCAAACTAACTTCTTTGAAAGGGGGGGTATACGGGATGTTATCTAATTTAGTAGCTTAAAAGATGTCTCATCAGAAAAAAACATTTTGTGGATTATAGGATATTAAGATCATATTTACCATTTGTGTAATGACAGGTATAAATGATTAAATTTTGATTAATCAGAATGCCTCATTGTCTAACCACTTCAGTGAACTGGGGTTTTATTTCAATGAGTTGAGTCCATATCTTAAAATCTCTCCATTTCCCCAGTACTTAACACAGTGATTTGCCGAGTAGGAACTTGACAAGGTTGTTGCTGAATAAATTTAGTAAAAATCAATTCAAGGACACAGAAAAGTACATCACTACTGGACACATACATTAGAAACACAATCTACTTCATAGTTCACTTCAGCAGACACAGGAGATGGAGTGTATCATGTGAGGAACAACCAAGTAGGCCGATGTTGCTGTACTGTCAAATGTGAAAAGTTAAGCCTAAAGGTGGGAAGGGGGCAGATTATGAAGAATCTTAAACAACGGAGTACTTTATATTTGATCTTTGAGGCAACAGAAAGCCAGTGGGGCTTACTGAACTGAGGACTGACACAGTCAGGTAAACTTTAGGAAAAACGATCCTGGTAGTTGAGTGGAAGATGCATTCAAGTGGGAAAAAGATTTGAGGCAGGGCAGAGATCCAAGTGAGAGATGATTAGGGTTTTCACTAAATGGTGGCTGTTTGAGCGGAGAGATGGGGATATGTAGCAGAGATTCTGTGAGCAAATAAATGCTCACAATAAATGCTCAAATAAATGTGACAGTGGATTGGACACGTGAGTTAAGTCAAAGTGAGGAGTTGAATATAACACAGGCTTCAAGCCCAGGTGACTGGGAAGATAGAGGTACCTTCTAGAGCAATAGGCAAGCTGAGAAGAGGGAAGGACTTTGAATACACATTTTCCTGGCTTCAAGTCTAGTTCTTTATTCACCATTCCATGCTGCCTGGGATATATACTTAAGTCTAATAATCTGAAAAGTAATGAGTCACAACGAAGAATATTTTCTTTCTGAATTTAGTTTTGACATTCAGGGATCCTGGAATGATAAATTCGGCCCCGGAGGATTTCAAAACAGAAATAAAGGGAAAATGCCTTAGAATCCTTATCTGTCAATTATTCACTGGAGCCCAGAGTTCTTGACTTCACTGATAAGTGAGACTTTACTTTTTTTAAAAAAAATTGTACTTTTACCTAGGTAAATGATGAAATTATTTCCCACACAATGTACTGACATTTACAAGTCACAATGGAGAAGAACCACAATTTAAAAGAAAACACTTTGCGCTAAAGTTAAAAATTAATTGCAAGATTTATTTATCACCTATATTTCAGTGCATTCCTCACAGAGAACACAAATTTAATTCTCTGCAAAAAAAAAATTCATTTCTATTACATACTAAAAATCACTCCATATTTATGTACAAATAAATTCATTTTCCCCTTAAGACTTAATCTTCCTTTAAGGAGACTACATACATATTCACAGTGCAAAATGTCACAGAATACCCATATTTGGCTCACATGTCTCTGGATTGTAGCATTACAAAATGGAAGTTCATTATGCCTGATAAGTCGATTCAGTTTTATCCAAATATCTTCCAGAGTTTGGTTGTTAAAAACAGAATGTTCTATTGTCCATCTTGCTCTATATAATGAATGGAGCTTTAATTTTTCTAAACTCTGTTGTAATTCTTTAGATAAAGGCAAAACCTTTTCTGTAAAATTTCTGGAAACTGAAACACTCCAAGACCTTTTCAAATGCCGTTTTGCTTTTTTGGTTTGTTCATTGGGATTTCCACAACTAATCTGTTCATCCAATGTTTGTGCTCGGATTAAACACTTCCTCTTTTCCAAATTTGGTTGAAACTCCGGAAGGCCCACTGTACAATCATAATTCTGAGCTTTCCTGTGATGTTCTGAAATGGTAAAGTGCTGGTCCGCTTCTTTAGCTGCCTCACCAGAAATAATCGGCGGTAGTCTTTTAGGTTTGAGGGGAAGTTTAATTACATCATTTGGAAACCAAGGTATAAATCTCAATAGTGGACGAGAAGGAAATTCATTAATAGCTTCTTCTGCAACTTTGTATAATCGTGTAGGGTCACTTTCACATGGTCGATAGTATAATACTACCTCTGTACTCATTCTGTACAAGGCCAGATAACTCTGTACAAGTCCAGATACTAATAATGGGGACACAACATTTCTTGGTCAAGATGCCCAGCGCTAGAACTTAAATTCATAGTTATAAAACTTTCTTGTCTTTCTTTCCACATTCTGCACTGATGAGAAGGAAGAAACAGGACCTAAAGTAGAAGTATTACAAAGAATAAGATACACGGGGTATCTCTACTAAAATAGGTCATACATAAATAGGTAGGATAAAAATGAACTTGTGTACTTTTCTATTTTGCTAGAGCAGCTACTGGTAATTATAAGCTTTAAAAAGGTGAGAAAACTTTTTTTTTAAATGACATAAAACTTTAAATAAAAAAAAGTTTTAGAAATTTAGTTTTATGTTTATCTGGAACTAAAGCAAATATATTTTAAAAAGCAACAATTCAAATAGGACTCTGTTACATCCAAATTCCATTGCTGTGGAAAACTGATATAAGAATTAGAATTCCTGGGATTTTAATCAGAGCCTTCCTCTGGATTAGCTGTGGTCTGGTTTTGTTGTTGTGTTTTTTTTGGTGAGGTAATTGGGGTTAAGTGACCTGCCCACAGTCACACAGCTATTAAGTGTCAACTGTCTGAGGTTGGATTTGAACTCAGGTCTTCCTGACTCCAGGGCCAGTGCTCTATTCACTGTTCCACCTAGCTGCCCCTTAGCTGTGTAGTCTTGAACAAGTTATTCAATCTCTATCTCATTTTTCTCATTGAGAAAATGAGGGGGAAATTTTAAAAATGAACTATGAAGTCCTACAGCTTTATGATGCTATGAAATTCTAATTGTGTACTTTTTATTGTGTTAAATATTAATCATTTAGAGGTACGCAGTAAAATATTCTTATGCAGTAGTTTTAAAATTATAATTTAGATAAAAAGAAATTTGATTCCTAAATATTAATCTCATGTAGATCTAAAGAAAAATATGGTTAGCATTTACAAAGCTTAAGAGATTCACATCAATATAAAGAAAAATGGACTGTAATTTTTATTTGCAAGAACTTTTTTTAATACTTTAAATGTAAAAATGGATTTAAACAAATGTTATTTAGTTGTGTCCAGCTCTTTGTGGCCCATACTGTCCATGGGGTTTTCTTGGCAAAGATACTAGAGCAGTTTGCCATTTTCTGCTCCAATGGTTTAAGGCAAATAGAAGTTAGTGAATTGCCCAGGGTTACACAGCTAGTAAGTGTCTGAGGCTGGATTTGAACTCAGGTCTTCCTGTTTAGGCACCTGGCTACCTCTAAACAAATATTAGTTTTTTCATAATTTTTGTCAAATATATTTGACATCCTCATGCCATCCTCAGCAACAAACATTAAGCACTATCTATAAGATATAAGCACTTTGGACAATGCATTTTAACTAGGTTAGCACCCATTAATAGTTTTATTATAGAACTTTCACCAGGTAACTTGGTTCAGCCTAATTACTCTAGACCAGGGATTTAACATATTTTGTGTCAATATCCCCATTGGCATGTTGGTGAAACTTATGGACTGCTTCTCAAAATAATATTTCTAAAAGCAAAAAATAAAATGTGAAAGATTACAAAGGAAACCAATTACATTGAAATATAGCTGTCAAAATATCCAGTCTGGAATAGGGATGTAGGTTTCTCTCTTTTTAGAGCCATGAAATACCCAATAGCTGCAAGTCAAATCTGTAAATACAGCTCCTACAGCCTACAATGTAGGGTGTTCTGGTTGGTAGAACCATGGTACAGCCAGATTCACAATTCTACACAGAAGGATGGGGCTAGAAGAACTTCATGGTAACCTATCTAACAGAGAGGTATTGGGGTATTACTAACTATCCTACATATGACAACTTCTTAAACAGGTAATAAGGCTTCATTTGAATCAACTATTAATATGGGCAGAAGAACCAGTTATTGAATTTTCATTAGTAAAATTATTATCCTTTGGATCTGTTTGTGTCAATTCAATTTTTGACAGCCCATGAATTTGTCTCCCTAAAACTTTCAAGTACCTGTGACTGTGAAATGCAAAAATCATTATATATTTTAATGTGGGATAAAATATTCAGAAATTGAGAAAGATTACATTTTTTCTTGAACATTTGCAGCTCCATGACACAGAGACAAAAATTTGAGTACTCCTAAAACCTGCAACTTTGGTTTCCTGGTATTTGACTTGTTTTGGTGGGGACAGGGGAAAAGAGAGAGGAAGAATGGAGAGGGGAAAATGGGAGAGGGGAAGAAGGGGAAGAGAGAAAAACTATATGTACGCATATATTCTATCAGAATATAACTCCAACATTATCTTTAATAAAATACAATTAAGAAAACTAAAATGACATTTAACTTAGTTCGTTAAAGAAAATTCACCTATCAGTAAATTGCAATGTACTCTTCCATAACTTTTACCTGAGCTGCTCAGGTACCATTTGTCAAAATTTGTCCAAGTCTCTGAGGCAAGAATTAGACAAATCACAGAACGGATTTCTTCTATCTACAGATTTAGCCATGTTTGATAAAAAGTTAATTTGGAAGGAATCTTTAGCAGCAGTGCAGTTTTCACCAAAAAGGCTGGTAAGGGAATGAATTCTGAAGGTATTGTTTCCCTACTTAAATCCTGACAGATACAAAAACTAGGTCTATCTTAAAAGAGGGGATTGGACTAGATGGTTTCTGAGGTCCTTTCAAGTTCTAGATCCACGATTGTGAATGGTTAGAGCCAGCGACTGATGCAGAGGAATTTAACAGGCTGGATTGAAATATTTGTACATTAATGCTTCACAGTTTTTGTACGGATTGTAATCAAAATTACACTACCTCAAAAAATGATGTCAAGAAGAAAGTATGGCTCGATGAAAGTGATCACACTACAATACAAAATGCATACTCTGCTGAAAATAAATTAATATAACATATTAAACATCAACTTATATGTAGTAATGGCAGATGGATAAAACAGATCTATAAGGGCCATCCTGATTAAAATGCTTTCTTCTTGGTCTTCCAAAGAGAAAAACAATTCTCAAAGAGTATATATTAATTTTATGGGGGTAGTTTCTATCTCCACATAGCTCTCTATAACAATTATCTACACAACTTAAAATTTACTGGTGTTTCATTCTTAACAAAATTAGCTTATAAATAAACGTGTGTTTTGAGAAGGGATTATAAGCCTAAGATACTTAAAGTTCTCCCATTTCGGTGACATTTAACGCACGATGTATTATAATCTAGTAAATTTAACGAGTATGAAATAAATTCGGGATTTATTTTGTAACTGTGCGCTTTTACCCTTAAGAGGAGGGACTTCCAATAACACCACGGGGCTATTAAAGTTATTTTACTGAGGAACATTGAAAGTTTCTCCCAAAGCTGCCCAAAGAACGAGGAAGAAGGGAACCCGCGTCTCCCAACCACCGAAGGCTTCCCGTGCTTAGGCTCGGACGGGGGCAGCCGGACACCGGGGTCTCTGGCCTGCCAATGGCCAGAATGGGCGGCGGGCCCCTGACCCACTGGATGGAGCAGGGGAGTCGAGCTCCAGGCCATCCTAGGGACCTCGCTCGCCGCGATGGCGGCAAAAGTGATCCAAAGGATGGAGGGAAAGGATGCGTCATGTCTCGGCAACATTTTTTTTTACCTTTTAGCGCCAGTAAATGCTCCTGCTTGGGTGGGTTCACCTCCATCTCCACCGGAACCTTAGAACTACCGGCAACGGAGGCTGGCGAGGCTTAACAACAACGCCCCGCCCCCCGCCCCCGGAAGAAAACAAGAAGGCGCCGGGAAAGAGAATCACGTGTCTACCTCTTTGTCTTCTATCGGCGACACCTAACGTCACTTCCAACCCTTTCTTTCCTCCCCCACTTCCCCCCCCCGCGAGCTCCGCAGTTTGGTTCCACCGAAGCCGACAATCATCCTCTAATCGAACGTACGCAAAGATATCTCTGGTTGTCGTCCCCTACCACCCCGAAAAGCCACACAAAAACCCAACTGCTTCTTCCATCCACACTCTTCTCCCCATCACTAAATCGTATAATTTTGCTAAGAGCGGTTTCTAAACTGGTCGGTGACAGCGCGCCCCAGTCTTATCACTAGGGCCGCCAGCAAGCCAGGATTCCTGAGCGTTAAAGAAGCAAACTGCATGCCGGAATTTGTAGTCTATTCGTCGCCGCGCTGCATCCTGGGACCTGAGGCCTGGGAGCCCTCAGGGTCCTTGCTCAAGCCCTTTAGTGTCACATGTGCGCACGCGCACAGCCACGCCGACACAACGCCCCTGTGTGTCGTTCCCCCGGCCACGGCGGCCTGGGCGGGTCTGCTCCTCGCCCCGCTCGCCGCCCTCGCCTCTCGCGGCCGGCTCACTGCGCCTGTGCAGCCCGATGCGTAAGTGGAGGCGGATCTTTTCCCGCCCCTCCGTTAGCTGCGGCAGCGGCGCTGCTGCGATGGCAGCCCTGGTTGTAAACAAGCCCGGAGCCGGCATCGAGAGCGGCAAGGCCGGCGCCCGGGGCCCCGCCGCCGTGAAGGTGAGACGCCGTCGGACCCCCTGCTGTCGTCATCCTCCTGCCCCCCTCCCGGTCGGCGGGGCGGGCCGCTCCGGGTGCCGTTCCCCGCAGCCCCCGGGGCCCGGGGGGGCCCCGGCCTGCCCCCCCCGCCCCCCGCCCCCGTGTCCTTGGGCTGCGCTGGACAGTGAATAGCCCCCCCCCTTAACCAGGGCCTCGTCAGTTAATTTTCTTACACCTTATTTCGGAGAAGGCTCTTGGTGCAGGAGCCTCTCGTGGGCCGCCGAGCCTTCCCTGCGCTCCTGTCGCCTGGGGAGCCGGGGAACCTGAGAGCCGCAGGGGGCCTTGCGCCCTCCAGTCCGGGGCTTCTTCCACCTTTTTCTGTGTCATGGGCCCTTGGTAGTCTGGGGGAGCCAATGGACAATTCTCAGAATAATGTTTTTTAGTGCATAAAATAAAATACATAAGATTACATAGGAAGCCAGTCATATTGAAAGATAATTATCAAAATTAAAAAAAAAGTAGTTCAAGACGTTAGGTTAAGAACCCAAGATCCAGTTGAAAATCTTTTTTACAGGTGAGGAAACTGAGGCCTGGATGGGTGATGGAAATGAGTTGCGCAAGGAAATACAAGTATTGAAGCTGGCTTTGGAAAGCATGTCTTTGGACCACAAAACTAATATTCTCTCCGTGATGCCAAACAACGTTAGTTAATATTTAGAAAACTAAAATAGAGTATATACCTCTGTAGTCCTTATTGGTTTATGCACCTCCCCCAGCCTGTTCAAGTAATAGTTGGGTTCAGCATATTAGATGGCCCAGTTGGTATCAACTCATAAGAAAAATGTGAACTGGAGTGCTTAGAACTCATTGGTCACATGTTTATTGTCTGTTAGTTCCAGTGCTCGTAATTTATGTTAGCAGGTAGCATATTCATTATTCACAGTATGCTGCGTGTTCCAGAAGTCTTAGTGCAGTTTTATGTTGTCAGAGCTTAAAAGGGACCTTTCGATCTAAAAAGGGACCTTGACCTGTCACAACTTTAAAATGCACTGAGACTATTTTGACATTTGTATTTCATTGGCTGTTATGCATTACAGTCTAACATCCTAAGGTAACTGATTCTGAAGATGCATAGAATTCAGGTGCTGTGAAGAGGACATAAAACTGATCATTTAATTCATCAGGGAAATGTTGCATTTCTAAATCTACTTTTGTGACGCCTGTGTTTCAAAGTAGGTTAACAGATTGTTTTGTAGAATTACTATATGCGGTTATCTTAATATCTTGAACTAATATATCTAAGAACTACAGCAGAATTTAGCAAATAACTACTGATTGTTAATGGGTTGTTCAGCTACCATAATTTTTAGTTCATAATTTTAAAAATTTAGATGATAATCCGCTCATTGCAGAAGTACTCTGGAGCCTAAATATATTTCAGGAAACTCACGCAGTGCAGAATTTGGTACAACACTTGTTTGCTTTGACCTTTATCCATGGGGGTGTAGTTACTTTAAAGCTGATAGGATATTCCTTAATGTTCAGTGAATCTTTGACATGTACCCCAGAGAATGGCATTTTAGTTAGGTCCTAAGTCAAAGAATACATTGGTGCTATCACTCATCACAGTGTTAGTAATATCTAGAGAGATTAGAAAAAAATGAAAAACAACTCTGGTAATTCCGTATTTGGAATGAATCATTTTGGCTTATAACTATAATAACAGATAGTATGATGCTTTTGTGTAATCTTAAAAAATGAAATAATCATCATCTGGCTCTGGATCAGAAGATTTGGTTTTGAATCCTGACTCATTTAAAGCTTAGTTCTGCCTCAGTTTCCTCATCTGCAAAATGAGAATACTACTTGCTTTTTTAACTTTATAGGGTTGTTAAGTGGATCAAATGAGATCTGGGCTCTTTGACATCTGGGTAACCCTCTTTTGAAAATAGGCCAATGTGTTTCCAAAAATGTGTGCCCTAGAAGGAAACACATTCTGCATGTGGTACTTCAGGGAGCATTGTCTTGAACTGGGCAGTTTAGACTAAGAGGACTTGGATTCAGATTCCACTTCTGCTTAAACTGTCACTGTTATTTTAGCCACATAATCTGTCTGAGCCTCAATTTCCTCATTTACAAAATACAGGAATTAGAGTATATGGCTTGTAAGGTCCCTTTTAAACTCTAAGTCTTGGATTCTTTGAACATAAAGTATTTTGTACTGTTATTCATATACTCCCTTTCTTGAGAAAAACAAAGATATAAAAATCTAAATGTAAGAAGAAGATCAAATGAGGTGATCATTTTCATTCAGCTCAGTTTAACAACTTGTTCAAAGCCTGTTGTTACATGTAAGGCACCATGATAGGTTCTACAGAGAACTACAAAGAGGAACAAAACCTAGTTGTTAAGAAATGTGTACTTAGGAGATTCCATAAGTATATATGCTTCATGTCACAAAAGAATTTGCTGCAGTTTTCTTTTTTTGATTAGGTTAAAAAATTTGCCTGTAAGGTTTTTCTATTCTACCAATTGAGAATTTTTCTTACTTATATTCTTGGACATTTGAACCTATGACCTCTTATTTACAAATGATAGGATGTATTCCCTGTCTAGGGAACCTGTCATGTATGACCCTATTACTCATACAACAAGCATTTATTAAACTGTATGTGCACAGGCACTGTGCAAAGTGTTGGGTATATGAAGAAAAGCAAAAACACATTGATTGCCCTCAAATTGCTCTGATTATGGTGTTTAGGATACAATATGCAGACAAATAATGCACATACGGAATGAGATAAGGAAAGCTTCAGCAGCAGCGTCTATAGGGGAGAACTGGAAAGTGGGAATAGAGCTGTATTGAAGGAAGTTAGGTGAGGAGGGACAGTGTTCCAGGTTGGGTGACAGCCAATGGAAAGGCACGGAGCCAGGAGATGGAACGTCTTGTATGAGGAACAAGAAGGCCAGTGTTGCTGGATAGTACTTTACTTAGAGGGGAATCAAATTTAGGAAGACCGGAAAGGTAGGCAAGGGCTAGATTATGAAAGCTTTAAATGCCAAACATAAGATTTGAAATTCGATTCTGGAGATTTCATAATTTTAAAGGAATGTATTGGTGCCGTCTTTCATCTTTGTGTCCTTCCCAGAGAATTCTGTTCTTCAGAGAAAAAACATGAATGTGTTGCATTTGGATTAGATTTTTTTTTTTAGTATCTCTGAAAAGAAACCTTGTTTTCTTAATGGCTTAAGAAATTGAATCTTCAATTCCTTGAAGTGTTTACTGAATTATTTATCTTATAAGATTTGACTTCCTATGCTGTATCACAAAGCAAAGGGTTTTTTTTTAGGTACGGAAAAAATGTCTATTGCCCCAATTCGTGAATGCAGTACATAATAGTTAACTGTCTAAAAGAAAAGCTACTTATTTGCCATGATAGCAAAAATGACAACTTTATGATTGTAAGGCTCATTATCATTATTTCCTTTGATTCTCACATCAACCCTGTGAAGTAGATGAAGTTTAAGTGTTATAATCTCCATTTTACTAATAAGAAAACAGATGGAGGAATGAAATAAATTATTTTTTAAATCAGCTAGTGAAGTGGCAGAGATGTTGGTTTTGTGCTCTTTTTTTCCCTGTAACTGAAAACTAGGATGTGATAGATGTAGTAGGAGTTTTTCTTAGTGCTTTTTTGAAAAAATAGAGTTGTGATAGAAAAGTCTTTTTGTTCTCTGTATTGCTATCAATACCATAAAATGTAGCTAAATTTTGTTAGGGCAATTTGAATTTGGTTGGTTTTGCTTATAAAGTAAATCCAAATTGTGGAGAAGGATGGTTAACACTGATGGAAATTATATAATAGTTTCAGAAGCAGGTTTAATAAAATTTCATGTATCGTTTTAAACTACTGCTAAATAATTTTTTTGTTTTAAAATCCAATTGTTTCATTTAACTGTGAAAAACTTTCAAATCAAATCTAAGTTTTTTCTGTTCTACCCTATGATGCAAAGTTATATATACGTTTATAGTGACAAATATATGAGTTTATAGTTCAAGATATCAGTTAAGAAATGAAATAATTAAGTTTAAAATATTTGAGATCTCCATTCAGATTCTGGCTTTCAACCATTAATTCATTTTGGCTATATTTGAGTCTTTTTGTTATATACCTTTTGCAACTTTTAGTTTCCATTTCTATTTAGTTACTGTTTCAGTGGTTGATTAAGTATATATACTAATCTCAACGTTTGTTTTCCAATATTATTTATAGTTTAAGCACTTTGTTCTAGGAATTTAGAAACGTCGGAGCGGCATACCTTTCTAATTTCATTTCCTTTGTGAATCATTGTATGATCCTGTAGAATGAAAAGTACTATGCTTTATACTTAAATATAAATAAGTATACATTATACTTGAATAATGCATTTAAAAAACAGTAAGCTTTACTAAAGTCTAACCCTATTTGGATTTGAATCCTGGGTAAGAAAAGCCCATCTGAATTAGGGAAATATTTGAATTAGAGAATATTTTGAAATAAATTCAGCTTTACTTCAACAAAAGAATCTGAACTAGAGTAATAATTGATCTTCCTTAAATGAATTATTTCTAAATTATTTCTTTAATTTGCATTTTTATATAATTGAATACTTCTTCACTTGACAGTAGTTTATTCTCAAATAAATAATTTTGTAATCTTTATTTACAGTATTAATTTTGAATTGAACACACTAAATTCCTTCTGCCATCAAAGCAGTATGCAGTGTGTTAGCAATACTGTGATAGATATAACACAATACCTACTGTCATGAGCTTAAATTTAATTTTCTTAGAAAACAAAATTTTTCTTTATAAATGTAAGAACTATCAATAAAAATACTAAAGTAAATTGAAAACCAAGGTGCAACATCTTACCCAAATGCTCTTGCTTTTATTGGGGCAGAACCAAAAAGAATGAACCAAGATCAAACAGACAAGATACTTTTTGAACATCTTTTCATGGATAGAAAGGTCAACTTTTTTTTTTTTTGAAAGGTCAACTTTCATCCCAGAACAAATTCTAAATTCCTGAATACCAAACTAATGTTGTTTTACTGTTGAATTACCACAGGAGTTGGTTTAAAAAAAGAAATGCAGGAAAATAATGTATTTATCATACAGATTCAATTATATACTTTGGTTCAATTAATGTTACTCAAAGTTTAAATATTATAAGAAAACTTATAGTGATTAGACTGTATATGGTTGGCCTGTTGGCCACCTTTACCTCATTTTAAGTTAGCTTCCATTGTGACATTCTTGTAGTAGGGTTTTTCAAATGGACCACTGCAAAGGAAATTTGAAGCTTCACAACTTGGATAATTATCTTCTTGAAAAGGAAACTCTCTACTCAGTAAGATAGAGTAAAATTATTATACAAGTAAATTAAAATATGTGTATTTAAAAATTAGTAATAATAATTAGCATTTATTTAGCACCTACTATTTGCGAGGTATTGTGCTAAGCACTTTACAGATATTATCTCATTTGATCTTCATAACAGCCCTGGAAGGTAGGTGTTGTTATTATCATCCCCATTCTACAGATGAGAAAACAGAGGCAGAGAGAGGTTAAGTGATCTGTCCATGGTCACACAGCTAGTCAGTGTCTGAGGCCAGTTTTGAACTCGGGGAAATTAATGAAAAATCAATCTGTTTCCTTTTTAAATTCTAGGTTCTAGAATGTGGAGTTTGTGAAGATGTGTTTTCTTTGCAAGGAGACAAAGTTCCACGCCTGCTTTTGTGTGGCCACACTGTCTGTCATGACTGTCTTACACGCCTTCCTCTCCATGGAAGAGCAATTCGCTGCCCATTTGATCGACAAGTAACTGAACTAGGTAGAAAAACTTTTTATTTTAAATTTTATATCTTTTCAGTTATATCACTGTTAATCAAAAAAACATTTCTCCATTTGATTTTAAATGATCAACAGCATAATATAATTAAAAGGAGGTTACAGAAAGGTAGTGTTCTTGTGCACAATGTTAGCCTTGTATAATGTAAGATCGTAATTGGGAGTAAAATTTATCTCATCCAAAGTACTTAATTGCTGTTTGTGTTATGGTTATTATTATAGACAGTTTAGGCAAATATGCTTTGTTTAAAAGAATATTGATTTAATTCATCTGGTAAATGCAGATAAACTAAGTGGTATAATTTGAATCCAATTAAACATCAACACGTAATGTATGCAGTCTCAGTTCATTAAAGTTAATAATGGAAGTACTGTGAAGTCATTTATGTGTTTTGACATGTTTTCATTTAAATTCAGGTTATGAGCAATGTATTGTTCCTGAGAGATGAGGAATTTGCAGCATATATATGATAATTTCCCATTTTCTTTCTATGTTATTAGCTAGAAGAGTTTGTACATTTTGGGATCTTCTGTGTATTTTTAAAACTTAACTGTAAATTTTCATTGGAATTTTCTAAAGTGTTTTCACAGACAAATGTTATTTTGTCTTTTTTTTTTAATGGGTTAAGGCCTACCAGAATGCTATGTAAAATGAAACATTTTTCATACTGTTAGTAGGCCTTGATTTGTCATAAATAGGAATCACAAACATAGAAGGCCAAGAAATAAATATTCAGGAACAATGATGGCACTAGGTATTAGAGATGTTATGATTTTCCCAGTAAAGATTCCAATAAAGTTTGCCCTCTGAACATGCTTCCCGTTAACACCTGGTTGCTAGTGGCTTATATCTTTGCCCCTGGGGTGTCTCAGGAAGCGCTGTGTTGCCTCAGTAAGCCTGTGGCCTTCTTGTCCCCGGTGCTTCGCAGGGTGCCCTTTGAGAGCCCTAGATCCAGGCCTCTGGCCTCCATCAGTGCTTCTCTAGTAATCCGGAGGCTGTTCCCAGATCAGGTCCTTCTCTAGCTGAGAACTTCTGCCTCTTATCCAAGTCCCCCCTACTCCTCCCTACTGGGAATTAGGCCTCCTTGACCCACAGGACTCAACATCAACATCTGCAGCAATGTTGGACGAGAGGGCCCTCAACAGTCTAATTACCTGCTTCCTCAATGGACTTCTTTCCAGAATAAATAATCTGATTGGATTTAGTGCACTGTGACCCTGTCATGCCCTCCTAATCCCACTAATTCAGAATCCTGACTGTCATTGTGCAAATCTTATTCCCCAGGTCCCACTGCCTGCTCCCTTAATCCCATCCCCCTAAGTTCTGCTTCCCTAATGTCCCACTCCAGGTATATACCCACCTCTTTAGTTGTGCTCTTTGGAATGCCTGCTCCATAGTTAACAAACTTGATTTCATTTTAAACCTTTTCCTTCCATTTTCTGGCATTCACCGATATCTGACTCTCTGTTGATAACTCAGGTTCCCCGGCTACTCTCTCTATCCTGGTTGTATTTTCACTCGTACCCTCTGACTCACTGTCATGATGTGAGGAATCAGAATACTTCCTCCCCATTGCCACTTCCAGACTCTCCCTCTGCTACTATCACTCAGACACCTCTCTTTTGAGGTTCATTCAGTCCATATTTATCACATAGTTGTCATTCTGGTAAGCTGTTATTTACTGACTCCTAGGACATTTTCCTTCCTCCTACAGTGAGTCCAGTGCCTGGCTCTTAAGCTTTCGTTTCTCCCCAACTCTTGCCCTCTTTCTAGGGAACTTTAACATAATATTGATGCTCATTCTATACTCCAATTTTCCAGTCTCCATTTACTCATTTCTCAAAACCTGTTCTTGCCCACCACCTAAGCTGCATACAGAGATGGTCATACCCTTATCTTGCTGTCCCTCACAAGTTTTTCACTTCTGTGTTGATAAACTCTGAAATTCCTTTATTGTATCATAATCTGTCATTCCATTTTTGCTTTGCCTCACAACCCTTAACCCTATTCTTCATTCTCACTGTAACCTCTAGTCCCTCGGTTAGCACTAACTCTGGCTACAGTCTCATCTTTTCCCTGATCTGACCGTTTGGTGAACCAGTTCACCTCTACAGTATCTTCTGTGTTTGAGTCCCTTGCTCTCTTCTTCTGTCATAAATCACACCTGGCATACCCCCAGACTGGGATCACTCCCACCATTTGCTGCTTTTGCAATTACTCATGTGCTGCTGAATGGAGCTAGAGAAAATTGAGAAACTGGGCTCTCTGGGTCCACTACAGATTTGTTACATAGTCTCATCTGGATCCTTACTGCAGTAAGGAATTATTTTATATTTCTCCTAACCAATTCACTATCCTGCTCACCATAGGAACTTCCAAACCTTTTCATCTGTCCACAAATCTCCTGGGTCACCCTTCCCCCCCCCACACCCCCCATCTGCTGAGAATTTGGCCTTACATTTTGCTGAAAAAAATTGAGGCCATTCACCAAGAGCTCCCTCTTCTCCCCTAATTTCATGTCACTTGGATGCTCTCCCCATCTCCCCCATCACCTCCTTCACCCCTGTCGCAAATGAAGGGATAGTCTTTTCCTATATTGTCTTATCCCACTCTCTACTGTCTTCTCTAACAGATTACCTCCTTTCACTAGTTTTCAGTCTAGCCCTAGCTGTTAGCTGGAACTCCTTGGAGACAAGACTGTTTGTGCCTTTTTTTGTGTGTGTGTATTCCCAATGCTTAACACACTGCCTGGCACCGTAGTTAGCATGTAGTAAATGCTTCTTGATTTGGATGAATGAAAACAAGTTTTTTTTGTTGTTGTTTTTTTTTTTTTTTTTTTTTTTGCTTTATAGTGAGGCAATTGGGATTAAGTGACTTGCCCAGGGTCACACAGTTAGTTAAGTGTCAGTTGTCTGAGGTCGAATTTGAACTCAGGTCTTCCTGACTCCAAGGCCTGAACTCTATCCACTGTGCCACTTAGCTGTTCCCTGAAAACAGCATTTATAATGCATTACTATTAGCAAAGAACTGCTAATTACTGGGAATACAAATAGACAAATAAAAGTCTTCTTGTTTTCTAGGAGATTACATCCTAATATGGAGAGACAACAAATACAGGAAGTGTCAACTGCAAATCAGAGCTAAAAACCTGGTGCTCCTTAGCATGTAACAGCAAAGTAGATGTGAATGTATCTTTAGTTTCATTTCCGTTAAGGAGGCATTTGACAGTGCAAAGTACTTTGTGACAATAACTTTCTTTTCTGGCTTTTTAATAAGTGCTGCTGCTAAGGAGGTAGCACTTAAGTACCCACAGAGCAGTTGACAGGTCACATGTCTAAAAGGGTTATTACCCTTTGATGACAGCTAGAAGGGACAGTGATGTTTCAGGCACCAATATTTCTACTGCCCTTGGTTTTACTTGCTTTTCTGTGGCAGTTTGGGGTTGATGTTGGTAGGGATTGTAGGCCTCTTTTTCATATAAGTTGTTTCGCTTCGTAATTTTTGTTGTTGTGGAGTTGTCATGTCCAACTCTTCATGACCCCATGTGGGGTTTTCTTGGCAAAGATACAGGAGTGCTTTGCCATTTCCTTCTCCAGCTCATTTTGCAGGTGAGGAAGCTGAGACAGACAGGGTTCAGTGACCTGCCCAGGATCACACAGCTAATAAGTGTCTGAGGTTGGCTTTGAACTTGGTTCTTCCTGATCCCAGGCTTGGCACTCTATCTACTATGCCACCTAGCTACCCCTTCATAATAAGCTATCATAAATTTCTATATGTAACACACTGGGGTAGACTTAACGAATGCAGAGGCAAAAACAAAAAAAAGTTTGTCCTAAAGGCGCTTATATTCTACAGCAAGCCCAGAAAAACGGAATCATTGAGTCCCAGTGTTGGATGTGGTTGTCATCTTTAAGTTGCTTACAATTTGCTCTTTCTCATACAGTACTAGGGAGCAGCCTTTATTTTCTTGAGTCTGTAATTTATTTTTGTCCTATATCATTTGTTTAAATGCATAATTTTGAAAAGGGCAGGAATTTAGACATGCATGGGGAGCTTCTTTTTTTTTAAACTTAAAGGATACCACAGTTGTTCCCACATGCATTCCTAACTGCCTGTATTGCTTCTGGTTTTCAGATATATTTTAGCTACATTTGTTGCCGAGAAAGGGATACAATCACATCCCTTAAAGTTGGGACATAACAACTGCTATGTTTTAGTGCAGAATCGAGGCTTTGTTGTTCCTATGCCAAGCATGCCCAACCCCATAGTTTTCTGAGCTTTCCTAACCCTATAAGTTCTGGATAAATTAGAAGTTCAGGATAGAGAGAGAAGGAACTAAGCATTGGTCTGGAGCCAGCTTTTAACTGCTCTGTTAGCAGGGCTAGAGCTAGACTGGTATGAATTTTCATGGTCTTTTATCCAAATGTAATTGCTCCAAAACAGCAAAAAGAAGACCTTTATAGTGGAAATAAAATTTCAGGCTGTTTGTTAAAGCTATATAACAATGGCTTCTATTACATTTATTTTGACTCTGCATAAATGTCTTATGCATTTCAGCACTGATAAAGGTTTTTTTTTCTTACATTTAAGTTAAAAAGTCACTTATTAACCAAGCTGATTAGCTACTAACTTTGTCAAGGGAAATATTTACTTTTAAAGGTATAAATAAATAAAGAGTATTTTCCTTTCTTCATTCCTCTTGTGTTTTCCTCTCTTCATTCCTCTTCTGTCCAGTATTTCAGTACATGGAGGAAGGATTTTGTATTGTTATTGGATCAAGTGAGTTGATGAGTAGAGGACATCAAAGGTGCTTTGACAGAGAGAGTATGTAAGTAAGGAAGCAACACAAATTAACATTAGCTAGTGTTTTTCCTATTCCCTCTACAGAGAATTCAGACCATAAAGAAATCTAGAATAGCATTGCAATACCCTAGGTTCAATGTACTTACCATAATTTGTGATACGCCATTTGCCTTCCTTTACAAAAAATACAACACTGTGAGGTAAGTTAACTCTTTGAAGGTGTCAGAATGTTCACCCTCTTTGAGATGACATATTGTTGAGGTTATATTAGATGATATGAAGACTCTTGCAGAGTAAGGAACAGAAATCTGAGTACTTCTGTGAGGAGCAATGTGATATGATGGATGAACACTGCATTTGAAGTCCTCTCACCTTTATTTATATTTCAGCTTTTCTAATTAATGCTTTTGTTATCATGGGCAAATCACTCACTCTCCTAAGAGGTCCAAATGAGGAAATTTGACTAAATGAATTCTAAGATTCCACCTAACATTAGATCTCTTGGTATCCCATGACCATGAATTATTTTTATAGACAGTTGAATAGAATTTTGAAGATGTTCATACAGGGCTCCATAAGTTTTAGTCACCTAAAGTCATTCAAAAAAGTAAGCAATAGGAAAATATATTTGTAAAGCTCTCTGCAAAATCAGATCATTAATATACCAGAAAACTGAGAGATTCACAATGTGTTGCAACATGTTTTTTGAATTTGAAACTCATTGGTAGAAATAAGTGTAAATGCTGGTAGTTCTGTATTTGATTGGCAAGACAAGCAATAATTTTCAGGACTTGATGTTGGGTAGATATTTTAAAATGTTGCAGAATAGGGGCGTTTTCAGTGTTTGGCTCAAGAATGAAGGCTATGACTTCACCAACAGTCTTCTTCCCTTTAAGAGGTCTTGACCTTTCACTATAGTTTTTAATTAAATTTTGTGCAGCATGTGAAAGAAATTGTTCTGGGTTTGGAAATTTATATAATTTTTTTTCTTGTTTTGAGATAAGAGTAGAGAATGTGATCTCGATCTAGGCAGAGATTTTAGTTCTTACATGTTTGTGAAGATGATAAAATTGAAATAAGAAAAGTAAATGCTAATAGTGATAACTTAGAAAATGAAATTGATTTCAATGAGTTATGCTTTTTTCCCTTCCCATTTTTTAATAGCTCCTTTTCTGAAAATGAGTACTTTCTGTCTCCCTAACAGTATGGAGGCTTCTCAATTCAGGAAATAGAATAACTTCTTCTGATGAATTATAATGTTTATGATTGCTTCTGGTTTTGGACTTTGCCTTGTATGTAAACATACAAAAACTTGAGAAGTGTGCTTATTTCCTCATGTTCAGTATTATACAACTGCATGTATAAAAAGGATCTTAAAACATCTAAAAGCAAATTAAATGACAAAATCTATCGAGTATTAAGTACACTCTATTTTAAAATTTAGTACATATAAAACTTTTTTGAGAAACCTAAGTTGCATCTTAAACACCTTAATATTTAAAAAAAAATTATTGATATATTTTGTTTTTATATTACCTGCGTTTCTTGATTGTACCCTCACCACCTGCCTCCTGGAAAGCCATCTCTTTTAACAAAGAACAAACGAGAGATTAAAAAACAGTTCAGCAGAACTAACCAACATGTCAGCCACATCCAGCCTTTTATGGTGTTCCTCACCTATGTTCTCTCTGTTCTGCCAGGAAGAGAATAAGGGACATACACATATCTCTTCTTTGAGAACCACATTTATATTTCTTTTTTCTTTTTCTTTTTTTTTTTTTTGACTAGGCAGTGGGGTTAAGTGACTTGCCCAGGGTCACACAGCTAGCAAGTGTTATGTGTCTGAGGCTGGATTTGAACTCAGGTACTCCTGAATCCAGGCCCGGTGCTCTATCCACTGTGCCACCTAGCTGCCCCTATATTTCTATATTAATAAGGTGATTATGGATCTGTTACAAACACTTCAAAAACATTATGTTCCCGTTTGAACAAAATTGAATTTTAAAACATTTATTAAGTATTTATTATGTAGAAGTCATGTGCTAAGCATCAGAAATACAAAAAACAAAAGTGACAGGTTTTTTAAACCAAGTTAATCTTTCTTTAATGACTAAGAAAGCTCTTTGTAATTCAAACCAATGTGAAGAAAGAACCCCTTGCCACCCCACCCTCCCCACACTTTTTAATGGTGATAATAGTTACAGCGTTAAACCCAGAAAGGTCCACATGAAGCTGAGCCAGAGCCCCAAGCCAAGAAGATGGCATTTATATTTCTATTTTACCCCAGATTTCTTAAACTAACATACATGAAGAGGAAACATTTTCCATTCCCATGGCTTTAAATTACAGAAATTGTACATCTCTAGGGCTAAGTAACATGTAATACTAAGTAATGTTGTTTAATCAGTTACTTGTGTGTGCTCTCTAGAATAAATGCTTAACTGGTAGTTAAAATGGATTGTTTGACTGAAAGAGTCTTAACTGATTGACCCATATTTTTGGTTGTCTTCTGATTGCATAGGCCTCCACGTAAGCATGTCTTAGGGAGAAGTATGAGTTTCCACTTACATGGGTCTGCAGTGTCATGGGAGCCTAATTAATAGAGTCTTCTGCCTTCCTTGTGACTGTAACCTTGTATCTCCATGTAGGAGAAGATGGAATGTACAACCACAAGGTTAAATGCAGAGCCAGGATGGGAGAGAACTAATAATCATAGGCATCTTAGCTTCAATTTCTATTTTAGAATTTAAATTTTTGAGAGAGAAACTTAATCTCCATATGTAGTGGAAGTCATTGGGAAATTAGAGGTTTTTTTTTTTTAAATATGAATATCCTGAGTTTTATTAGGTGGTGCCAGTATTCTCAATAACATAAAGCATTTTTTTCAAAGGAAGTTAATTTTATATCTTGTGGGATAACTCACGTGTTATATCAAAAAAAATTTTTAATTGAGTGTGTGTAAAGTAGACTTAGAAGTATTGCAAATGAAACTATGAATGTCTATATCTTATAGCTTGCTTTTCTTTTTTAGTATATGACAAATTGAGCACACAGCTTTCAAAACTGTCCCGTTCATTTGTATTTCCTTTTGGTTTTCTGGCTTTCCTTGTTGTTGTTTTTTTTTCCTGTGCATTCTTTAAAAAATGTCTCAGTGACCTTTTCATTTTTTTTCTTTTTGGGGGGAACTGTATGGCTAGCTTCCCTCTACTCTCATTCTCCCCCAGCTCCAAAAAAAGAAAAGCATAACCTTCAAGTATAGGAAATTAAATGAGAACTTTTTCATTTTAGAAATGTGAAAATTTTTATTTTTAAAAATTAGATTATGATTTGAAAATCATAGCTGGAGTGTAGAATGAAAGGTATAGGTTTTTTTTTTTTTTGTTAAACTCATCTTTATTTTACTTTTAAACTAGGAGATTCAGGTGTCTGGGGATTGAAAAAGAATTTTGCATTGTTGGAGCTTTTGGAACGACTACAGAATGGCCCTATTGGTCAATATGGAACAACAGAAGAAGCAGTTGGATTATCTGGAGAGGTATTGATTGTGTTCAGTTAAAATTTTGGAGGGGGGCGGGTATGGAAATATATTTTTATTTAAAATGTTAGAAACTTGGTAAAATATTTATTCAGCATCAAACTTGTAGAATCCAGACTTCAGGGGAAAACTGAAAAGCTGAAGTTAAGCATAAAATCCTCTGATGTCACTGAAAATAAGAAGAAAGCACTTATGCTTTATTTGGTGTGAGAGGAGCGAATCATTCCCACACTTCTCAAACAGAGAGCATAATTTGGTGCTTCAGTACTTCAGTGGATTCCTGATTTTATCAAAAGAGGTTTCTTTCTCCGAGAGTGCCGGTTGTCCTTGGCTCTGCCTAACAACAAAGTAGGGGTCAGCAGAATTCTGGAAATGGGCTTGTTATAGTGTATGTGAGGGGGGAGTATATTTGAGAGGCCTTCAGCCTGGTCAGCTCATCTCTGTACCCAAATTCAGGGCAATATTGAGTAGATTATTTGACCCAGGGTACAGAGGAACAGAATGGAAAAGTTGAGTTGTACCTTTTTATCCTTTGCTGTTCTTTCACATGTCCATACCGAAATCCTCCCTAGATCTAAGACACTGAAAGCTTTCCTTAATGTTTTTAATGTTTAATGAGTGCCAGTTAGATGCTCTATTTGTTATCCTTTGCTGTCACTATGCAGAATCATAGGAACATAGATTTAGAGCTGGAAAGGACCTCAAAGGTCATCTTGTCCAACCCCCTCATTTTGTAAATGAAGAAACTCAGGCCCAGAGATGTTAAGTAACTGAGCTGATGTCACATAGGTAGCATGTACCTGAGCCAGGATTCAAACTTAGGTCTCTTGACTCTAAATCGAGGAAAGGATCAAGCGCCTATTATATGCGAGGCACTGTGTATGCTAAGCACTTTACAAATATCTCGTTTTCATTCTATTGCACTACTGATTTTTTTAAAATTACATATTTTTGGATGATGTCACTTTTTGCTTATAAATCATCATTGATAATATGCTTCAGTTTACTTATACCCAACTTGTGTGTCTCCATTGCTTTTTAGATCAGTTTTGATTGTTTGGAGATTATAGTCCTGACATGAAAACTGACATGAAAAATGGTGTTAAATTAATAGAGGTTTTTATTTCAAGGAACAGCTTCAGATTATTGAAAGCTCCATATAGTTTTCCAAATTATTCCAGCTCTTTTTATGTGGTGATAAACTAACTTAGTGCCTTACCTATTCAACCAGGTCATTGCTTTTTCTTATGTGGATTGTGAGGCCTTTTTCTTTTGAGTGATGAAGGGTCTCAGTAAGAGTGGGTGGGGATCTCTATGATATTCTGGGGTTTGATGTCATCAGCACAATGTCACTTACAAATAGGAACATCTGGAAAATTGTTCTGTCTATTAAAAAATCCTTTTCTAGGAAAAGGACCTATGTGTACAAAAATATTTATATAGTAGCTCTTTTGGTGGTGGCAAAGAATTGGAAATTGAGGGGGTACCCATCAATGGTTGAACAAATTTGGTATATGATTGTGATGGAACATTATTGTGCTGTAAGAAATGATGAACAGGATGGGAATTTCAGAAAAACCTGGGAAGACTGATAGAAGCTCCTGCAAAGTGAAGTGAGCAGAACCAGAACACTGTACACAGTAACGACAGTATTGTATGATGATCAATTGTGAAAGACTTAGCTAATCTGATCAACATAATGATCCAAGACAGTTGTGAAAGACTCATAATGAAAAATGGTATCCATGTCCAGAGTGAGAACTAAGTGTAGACTGAAATATAATTTTTTCACTTTCTCTTCTTCCCTTCCCTCCCCTCCCTTCCCTTCTCTTTCTCCTTCTTTCCTTCCTTCCTTCCTTCCTTCCTTCCTTCCTTCCTTCCTTCCTTCCTTCCTTCCTTCCTTCCTTCC